TTTTTCTATAGTTTGTGTAAATTTCAATAGCTTCGTGTATATTTTCCTCACTTTGTGTAAGTTTTTACTTACTCGTGTAATTTTTGTTTTAGGTCGTGCAGAAAATAATTTTGAAGCAATCGGCGTGCCATACTTCTCGACTACATGTAGTTACACATGTAATTTATGAGCATCATGCACGGCTAAGTCAGCTTAATTTTTTTTTTATTTCTAACATAGTATCAAAACAATTTCGGAAGATTTGCAGAATCTGGCATGAATAATTGTCACCCCGATCAAAGTCGGAGGGGGTTGGGGGGGTTGGTGGTATTATTATTATATTACTTATTATTTTATCTGCAGGGGGTTTCGCAGATAGCTTGGACAATCTAAGAGAAAATGCACAGAGTTAATGATCACCTAGTCTAGTTGAACTTGCAACATTTAAGATTTCAATATGGCCACCGTTGCCATGGAAATGGAGAAAATATGAAAATTTTAGATCTCATATTTCTCATCAAATTGTTCAGCATTTTTTTTTTGAAACATTAAAGGGTTATTCCTTGCATAAAGTCAAACTGATTTCTGCAAAAATTAAGAATTGGTTGGACAAACCTTTTCATTGTTCCTATGGGAACAAAAGAGGAAATTTTCTTTCTGTTTATCTTCCTCTAAAGTTATTTCAAACTGCATGATACTGATGTGTGTCTCCCCAAGTTTCTAGGGTTTAAAATTTCCAAAGTTTGCTTCGTTGCCATGGAAACAAAAATGAGTAAATTTCTGAAATTTTGAAATTTGGTAAAATTGTAATTGTTAATTACTCTGCTTTCAACTCAAATATTGCACCGTGGAGGTCAGTTTAGGGTGATATGCTATTGCAGTAGTTAATTCTTTTTCTAGAATTTCATATTTTCATAACAAAACAGTTCCAGTGAGCCTTTGTTTCCTTGTTATTGATAGCTTTCTAATAACTTCAACACATTCTTTGTCTGTATGAACGGAATTAGATGCATTGTACATATACTATTTTCTGTTCTACTTCTGGCCTTGCATTTTACACTGTGATGAATTCTAAGTGTATAATAGAACTTTTTTCTCGGTTTGAAAGGATTTTATCACTTATAATACCTTAATGCCAGATTTCAACCTGTTATTCTGCAATTCATTCTTTTAAAGTGATCTTTATTTTGGAATTTTATTCTGAACAGACCGATGAGTGAAATCACTGATAGATTTCCGTCGAAACAATCCTTGTAAAGAGAAAGAGTGAGCATTCACAAGTAGACTTATTGACCTACTCGTCATTTAATGTTTCATCAATTATCCAGAATCCGATACCGTGTCCTGAAAGGCGACCCACAGGGACAGGACGAATTGGGCTAATATTGTTTTATAGTGAGTTACTATAGATCTCTGAAGTGTATTAACGATACCACAACTCAATTTGGCACAGAAATTTCATAAAGATGTCAGAAAAATTAATGCACTAACTGAGATATTTCGGTATTAAGATGGATACATGAAAGCGAACACAAGTTAGCTTCTCTATGGTGGTATCGGTAGCAAGATCATCATTCTATATGCTCATATTGCATATATGTTCTACTGAAGCTTGGAAAAGAACGCAGTATTCATGATTAACGTCTTAATCCTATAAACTTGTTTTTACTACAGTTTCCTGTAGATATATTGCATTTTCCTGGGTTTGAATTACATTCTGAATGATTTTAAAAATTTCTTACAGAATAACAATTCAATTTCAGTAACTAGTCTTGGTAGGCATTTAATTTGTGTATTCTTTATTGAGGTTAAGAAAAAGAAGTCGATATTGTATATGATTTAAAATTATTCATTTTTATGCCCCGCGATGAATATGGCCGGGGCATATAGTATTTGTCATGTCCGTCTTCCGTCCTTCCGTCTGTCCTTCCGTCACACTTTGCGTTTAGCTCTGTTCAATGCTCAGTTTCAAAGAAACTATCCAAGATATTTTTATCAAACTTCATATGCTGATAGATATTGATGAGAGCTATGGAACTGCATCAACATTTTTTGATCTTGACCTTTCATTTGACCTTGACCTCACTTTTCTTAAATTAGTGTTTAGCTCAATTTTAAAGATACCATTCAAGGTAGTATAATCAAACTTCATATGTTGATACATACTGATGTAAGCTATTCAACTGCATCAACATTTTTGACCTTGACCACTCCTTAGACCTTGACCTCACTTTTCTTTAATTAGTGTTTAGCTCAGTTTTAGTGAAATCATTCAAGGTATTTTTATCAAACTTCATGTGATGATACATACTGATGAGAGCTTTTCAACTGCATCAATATTTTTGGACTTTGACCTTTCCTTTGACCTTGACCTCACTTTTCTTAAATAAGTGTTTAGCTCAGTTTTAAAGATACCATTCAATACAGTGTTATCAAACTTCATATGTTAATACATACTGATGAGAGCTATTCAACTGCATCAACATTTTGACCTTGGCCATTCCTTTGACCTTGACCTCACTTCTCTTAGTGTCAAACTTCATATGCTGATACATACTGATGTAAGCTATTCAACTGCATCAATATTTTTTTACCTTGACCTTTCCTTTGACCTTGACCTCACTTTTCTCAATTTGTGTTTAACTCAGTTTTAAAGAAAACATTCATAATAATTTTTTCAAACTTCATATGCTGATAGATATTGATTAGAGCTAGGCAACTGCATCAACATTTTTTTACCTTGACCTTTCCTTTGACCTTAACTTCATTTATTCTAAATTAGTGTTTAGCTCAGTTTTAAATAAACCATTCCAAATATATTTATCAAACTTAAATATGCTGATACGTATTTGTGAGAAGTATTCAACTGCATCAAAAATATTTGACCTTGAACTTCCTGTGACTTTGACCTCACTTTTCTTAGATTTGCATTTTGCTTAATTTTAAAGAAACTATTTAAGATATATTTATGTAAGTTTATGCACTTATACATAATTTGGCGGGAATTTATCATCTATATCCAACTTTTTAGATTTCAATTTTAAAGAAATTATTCAAGATATTCTCAACAAATTTCATACACTAATACAAATTTTCATGTTGCATTACTAATAAATCCTCGGCGGGGCATTCATGTCGTATGGACATATTTCTAATTTTCTTTCTTTTTTGTTTGTTGTTGTTTCTTTTGTTTTCTTTTTTTTTTTTTGTTTGTTTGTTTGCTTTTTTTGTTTGTTTGTTTGTTTTTGTTTGGTTTTGTTTTTGTTTTTCTTTCCAAGCAAAATTAATGATATATAAATGAAATGTTACTTCGTCCATTGCTATTTATGAAGAACAGGTACTAGTTCTCAGAAAGTCGCTGTTCAAGGGCAAGGCTCTTGACCTCACTCAAGACTTTTTTACGTACATCACTTTGAAACACCATCATACAAATTCGTCTAGAGAGGAAGATTCAAGGAAAAATATACTAATTCAATAAAACAAATGTTTGTATGCATTTCATGTTGACCATCTTTTCACCTTTTGTTTTCCATAAAAGACCATTGAAGGTACTAGGACAATTTAATTTATATGTATTATAATGTAAATCATTTTTAGTTGAAATATTGTCTTTTAACTTTGTATAAATACCGTACACCACAGTATTCTTTTGTTTGGCTGGCTACTTATCGCTGAACAAGGATGTTATTGCTACAAGAGAGCCTCTGTCTGGTTTGCTCCAATAGATCATTTTTTTCAATTGTGATCGGAGTGATCGTAACGGACGTATGTGATTTTATTCATGGTTTCCATCTAATCTGCTTTCATTTTTATGATAATCAATCAATATCTTCATATGAAACGCCAATATAATATTTCAGCTTTAAACTGATCATGTGTCATAAACTGGAACTAAACAGATTTAACTAACAGTCATCGCCAGCGGAGATTTAAATGATAGAAAACATGTTTTTTTAAACATGATAGCATGGCTAAACACATAGTGGGAGTAAAAATTACTTATAATTGACAAATGCAGCGACAAATCGTTTGGCAGAGTGATGTATTGATACTGCTCTGGTATCCCTCTGGATCTCAAATCATTTCTGTTATTAAACTGAATCAGTTTGAATGCAGCGTAGCGTGAAATGGACAGAAGACTGTCAATTTCCGACCTGGCGTGACGTCAGGGTAACGACTGTTGACATCCGGCGGTTTCATGTCTCGTGAGATGCTTCTATTTCATAATATGGCAACTGGTTGACAGAACATTGGCTTCTGTACACTCCACTTTAAAGCAATTTAAGCTCCGCAGTGACTTTCGAAACAAGATTGAGACCGAGCAGAGTGTTTATTTCTTCTGATCGATCATATCATTATTTCTCTGTTATGGTCTCAATAACTGAAATCCAATTCATTTGCATAAATCCGAAACAACAATGTTCAGGCTTCTACATGTAGTGACCATTGATACTAAGCATTCCGGTACTTGTCTAAAACATCGAAAACTTTTTTTTAATTGAAGACAAGAGTGATAACTTATCATTGATATTTGGTGACTCTTGTAAAACAGATGTAGAGTTTTAAACGATATTTACTACATATAAGTTTTATTAAGAATCCTCCTCAATACTTTCCGTGACATATACCTGATGCGATTATTCAAGAATTAAAAATATGGAAAATCGATTGTGTCTTCTCTTTGTTTGCAGATGTACAACAATTATGCTCCAAAACATTCCTTGCAATTGTCGACTTCAACATTTTTGATAGAATTGAATTAAATCAATGAAAGATTGTTCTTTGTGGAATCTGATGATAGTGAAATTGAGAATGATTTAGTAAGGGTTTCATAGATTCTGAGGATTCAGAAATCCCTGTGGGATTACTTACGCAAATCGTTAAGATTTTACTCGTTGGAGAAGATAAAAAAGAAAGCTCTTTGACTAAGATATTGGTAATAACCCATTTGGATAAAAGTTGTTTTAAGTATTTTTAACTTGATATTGATTGGGACTGTACTTAATTTGTTTTTTTTCCAGATGGTGGACAGGCGGTCATGACAAACACAACAGTGTCCCAGGAGAAATTGACGAGTACTAAGGGTGAAGAGGACGACTTAGAGGTCATAGAAAATGGAGGACTCAGTCCCCATCCCTCTCTTAGAGCTGACGATGACGCCTGTTCAGAAATTATCCGCATTGAACAGGGCGAGTCTAAAGGAAGAGAAGGCGAACACCACACAGCTTTGGGGCGAATCGTCCGAACCCTACAGGTAGGGTGTCAGTCAAGTAACCCTCCAGAAAAGGAGTGTCTGGTATTAGAATGACAAGTTACAATATTTTCAATATTTACGATATAAAATGTTAGTATTCAATCAGTCTCAAATTCTACCACGCATGGTATGCTAAATTAATTTAAATTTCATTTTCAATTTTGTTTTTATCGCCTATTTAAATTTAATGCTACACCTTAGTAGTGAGCAGCTTAAATGTAAAACTATTCTGATATGTTTTATCGGAGAATGATTAAGTTCCAGGATCCGTCTTTATCTACTGTATATTCTCAACAACAAACATGTAAAAGACAGCACGTAATCTCGGAGAATTACGGAAAGCAATATCCATTGAGAATATATATGACTATTTTTATAATCTTTTGACTTTTTAAACAGAGCTTTCCACAGGGACGTGTTATAGCTATCAGGTATTCCATAACGTAATTCTCATTACTTCACAATCGACAATTACAGATTTTTATTAACTAAGGTCAATGAATAGCTATGGGGCAGAAGTTAATATTACATACAACAGATCAATATTGAGTCTCGGGGTTTATTATGTAACCAAACAATTACAATTACTTCAATCAAGTAAATTTGATTGAAAAAAAAATCATTCAACCTACTTTTTGTCTTATGATTTTGTGTATTGATCGTTTAAGTTTTGTTTGTAAACATTATAGAAATAAAAACTACCGTTGTTGTAGAGAAATGTTTTCCCTATAGCCAGTCCCCCCCCCCCCCCCCCGAATCTGCATTCAAAAGTAGGACCCCAAGCCACCTGGAAATCTCAATCTAGAGCAAAAAAAAAAAATAATAATAAACCTTTTTATTCTTCCCCAGAGTAGGATTTCACCTTACTTTATATAAATGAATTATAAGATTAAGGACCATTACAAACCACAGCACAATATTTTGACTAAAAAAAAATGAAAGTCAGTTGAATTTTTAGAGTAAAATGAGTGTTTTCTACTCATAATTTGTTCAATTTTAGCATAAATTCTAAACATGTTATAATTCAGATCATGGATTCTTAACTAATAATTTTAACTTTGAAAAGAAATTGTAAAATCAGTAAGTCATAAAACTTTTAAAACTCGATTAACACTCTTGGAATACAGTGGTACATGCAGCTGTATTTGTCACGAATTTACATTTATATCAGCCACCAGCGGTTTAAAGATGTAATTCATGTGCCTTCTAATGATCCAGTATTTTAACTAAAGGCCGGTATGTAGGAAAATATTCTCCTTTTTTTTCTTCTTTTTTTAAATCAGTATTTTATTCTGTAAAGTCAAATTGCATAATTATTGGACATCAGGCATAGGCTATATAAGTCCTCTCCAAGAAGGTTGTTTTTGAACGAGTGTGCAAGAAAAACAAAATTTTCTTTTATTGATCTGTTCCACATACATCTTTTGAGATTTTGGATTGGGTAGTTCTTAGTCGAAAGAAAAAAGAAAAGAAAATGAATAAAACAGCAATTTTTAAAAAGTCATTTTAGCACAGACAGAAAGACGGAGAATCATCATTTTTATGTAGATACGTTTTGCTCTGCAATTAATCCAAAATGTATGTATGTTGTTTGGATAAATGAATATTTCAGTTGGTGGAAAATTGGCTCGTGGGTAAATCGCATTTTATAACTACATATATTAAAATGAGTAGTAATGCCCTCTCTCGGAAAATTAAATTTGGTGGGTGATTTTTTCTTTAGGGGAAATCCTACCCTGGTACCATTTATTCAGTGGGGGAATCCTTATCTAAAGCCTATTTTCCGAGAGGATCCTACTTTAGAGCAGGTCTTCTGCCGTGGGGATTTTAGAGGGGAAAGCCTACTCTACAAGACCGGCATTATGTCTTCTATTAAATTTTACGAACTTTATTAAGATTTTGATCGAATGTCATTGAATCGTTTTCATTTATCCAATATCAGTGTATACGCCGAATTGGGCAATCATATGACCGATGTCAGAAAGTAAACCTTCTGCATTGCAAACCTTCCCCTCGGAATCTAGCTTTCCTCTCGGAATAATTGTTATATAGCAAACATTCCTCCTTGCATAGTATTCATTCCCCCGAATATTTTGCTATTTAGTAAATGTTCTTTATCTAGAATTATGATTAAAGCGGTATCTGGATGGACCATCGTCATAAAAATTTAACATTTACTTTAGCCATTGCAATTATGATTTATTTTTAAAGTCGAAAATTGTCACATTTTGTCAAGTAATGATTGAAATAATTATGGTCTTGAAAAGAATTGGATACTGAGATTTTTTTTACATGCATTATTACAAAAAAAAATTACATAACACAAACAAGATCTGATCATAATTAATTTCACGCAATATAATATTTAACATATAGAAGAACATTTCCTAAAAGATAACTATATTCCCCGAAGAATATAAAATTCGAACCGTTTATGGTTAGTTCGGAAAGTTTACTATACGGAAGAATTACTATATATAGGACCCCCCCCCTCCCCCCCAACTGAGAAAGGTTTACTATATAGTAGACATTCCAGTGGGAAATTTTACTATAAGGGAAGGTTACTATATGACACCGGCGTAAAACGCCGAATTGACAAATGAAATGAATCGGCGAGAAACTAAGTAATGATCCATTAATGTAGATCTACCACTTTTTTTCCTTGCGTCTTACCAGAAAACGTTGAATAAATTCGGAATTCAAACTAATGCAAAAAATCAAGATCATTTCAATTAAAAACCACATTGATATATCAAATTTGAATATACGTAAAAAGAAGGAATGAACAATTCCATTAATATAAAGAAATCTGGGTTGAGATCAAGACACTAAATTGTAGTTCTTAGGTTTCACTGGGTTTGTTTTAGTCATATCCGTTTAGGATTGATCAGCTACAATTATCCAACTCAGGGATTTTCCTCTCTGTGTATTTATTTGCCACTGTATGTAAATCCATATATAAGTATTATGTTTATCTATTTTCTCTATATATTCACCAATTTTTTTTTTTAAAGAAAGTTTAGAACATGCGTAAAATTTTATTTCTTATGATGACCATTTAGTAAGCATTTTTTTAAGAAGGATAAAGATTACATGGCATGTTTTTATCATGATTTTTAACTATTTGCCGTGCATGTAATCACAAAAAAATCTATATTGCTGTATTTAAATACACACATTCTTATACAGAAAAACATACATGTAAACTTAACAGAAACATTGATAAAGGTTTGTATTAATCCCTTTATGACAGAATCAGGTGAGTACAATTAACAAACCGAAAAATTCCATTCTTTGTCTCCTTTTCCACTTCTCTACAATGAGGTGCATACTGGGATAAAAGCTGCTATTAACTTAAAAGGATTCAGTAAAAAGGGTTTCGATGTTTTGTTAATTTAACATGTGGTCCCTTATTATTAAAGATATTGCATTTGATTTCATTTGGAGGTAGATGTTCGATATAGAGGCGACGCTACACAACTTCCCCCAATCAGGCGCTCATTAGCGCAGTCCGGATTCCAGAAGCCCGTGGCAGCCTAATGGCACGTCTAATTGTAGTTTCTAAGACCCGCAGAAATAACAAATTTTGAATAGCGATGGAATTGCCCTTAAATGTACATTTGTGCAGATAACGATTGTAATTAAGTGAATCGTTTCCCGAACATGACTGAAAAACCTCGGAGTCTAGAGAATAGAGTCATCGGTTATATTATTTGGTACCAACTCATATATGGAAACGACTAGAAAAAGCAAGGTTGAATTTCAAAGGCAAAATTTGAATGACAGAAAACGTTCAAAATAACGGACAATAGTTTTACTATGCAAAATTAATGAAATATTTCAATCTATTCCTTTATAATCCAACTACTACTTTAATAAATCATTATTTATTTAATTCCGAACGAAGTCGTGGGGGTGGGGGTGGACATATTGCTATTGTTCCACCTGAAATCCTAATGAAACTTCGTAGTAATGATAATCAGCAATGTAAGGTTTGCATGCACCGTTCAAAAAGACTTCCTTTGTCATGATTGAAAACGGAGAAAGGTCAGTTCGGAGTGACATACGATAATTGCTTGCAAAAGCAAATTTTCTATCTTTTTTGAAAAAGTAATCAAACACCGAGTCCAATGACCTCATACAAGAAAGCCATGTCAAAAAAAAAAAAAAAAAAAAAAAAAAAAAACCATCGAACTTCGTAATTCAAAATCTCGGATTCTATTCAACATTCAAGATTAATAAAACATGGTTCCTCAAAACTGTTTCTTTCGAAGGTATAATGCTACCTTGCAATCTGTTGGCATCATGGATCGCAATACATGTATATAATAACCCGTCATCTCTATAAAACAATGCGAGGTATTTGTTCTTAGTTTACTGAGAAAGACTGTGTCAAATTATATCGTAAATCAAGTCTCGCACATTACTGGACAGCGTAGGTTATAATTAAAGTGACTTAAGGCCAGCGATACATAAAAATAATCCCTGAAACCCTGCCATTCTTTCTATATGTCGAGGGTACCCATCTCTAATATGCATTTCCTCCTTTATCACTGAATTAAATTTATTGAGACTTTCACAGAGTCTGTATTACACAGTGCCATTGAGCACTTCCTATTTTTAGGTCACCTGAGTCACTCAGGTGACCTATTGCTATCTGTTTTCGTCCGTCGTCGTGCGTCGTCCGTCGTGTGTTAACATTTGAACATTTTCAGCTTCTTCTCTGAAACCGCTGAATCAATTTCAGCCAATTTTAGCATATGGCATCTATGTGTGAAGGGGAACAAAATTTGTGAATATCATGGTCCCTGCCCCCCTTGGGCCTGAGGGGTGGGGCTAAAACCACCAAAATTAATGCAATCTTTAAAAATCTTCTTCTTTACTCCTGGACATCAAGCAGTCAAACTGTTGGCATGATTGTAATAAGCATTGAGCCCTCTACCAAAATTGTGAAATTCATGGCCCCAGGGTCAGGGGTTCTGGTGCTAGGGTGGGGCTATATAGGTTATAGAGTGAAAGTGCATTATTACTTTGAAAATCTTCTTCTCTACTCCTAGGTATTATTGAAACAAATTAAATACATAGTTATGATAAGCAAAAGTAACTCTACCAAAATTGTGAAATTCATAGCCCCAGGGTCAGGGGTTCTGGTGCTAGGAGGAGGGGGGGGGGGGCTACATAGATCATATAGTGAAAGTGCATTATTACTTTGAAAATCTTCTTCTCTACTCCTAGGTATTATTGAAACAAATTGAATACATAGTTATGATAAGCAAGAGTGACTCTACCAAAATTGTGAAATTCACAGCCCCAGGGTCAGGGGTTCTGGTGCTAGGAGGAGGGGGGGGGGGCTACATAGATCATATAGTGAAAGTGCATTATTACTTTGAAAATCTTCTTCTCTACTCCTGGGTATTATTGAAACAAATTGAATACATAGTTATGATAAGCAATGGTGACTCTACCAAAATTGTGAAATTCATAGCCCCAGGGTCAGGGGTTCTGGTGCTAGGGCGGGGCTATACAGATCATATAGTGAAAGTGCATTATTTCTTTGAAAATCTTCTTCTCTTCTCCTGGGTATTATTGAAACAAATTGAATAAATAGTTATGATAAGCAAAAGTGACTCTACCAAAATTGTGAAATTCATAGCCCCAGGGTCAGGGGTTCTGGTGCTAGGGCGAGGCTATATAGATCATATAGTGAAAGTGCATTATTTCTTTGAAAATCTTCTTCTCTACTCCTAGGTATTATTGAAACAAATTGAATACATAGTTATGATAAGCAAGGGTGACTCTACCAAAATTGTGAAATTCATAGCCCCAGGGTCAGGGGTTCTGGTGCTAGGGTGGGGCTATATAGATCATATAGTGAAAGTGCATTATTTCTTTGAAAATCTTCTTCTCTTCTCCTGGGTATTATTGAAACAAATTAAATACATAGTTATGATAAGCATGGGTGACTCTTCCAAAATAGGGATTTTCATGACCCCTGTTTCAGGGGTTCTGATGTTAGGGCCGGGCTCTATTTATTATGTAGTGAAAATGCATTAATGCTTTAAAAATTTTCTTCTCTGCTCCTGGATATTTTTGAAACAAAGAAAGTACATTGTAATGATAAGCAATGATGCCTCTCCCAAAATTTTGAAATTCATGGCCCCATGGACAGGGGTTCTGGTTATAGGGTGGGGCTATATAGATCCTATAGTGAAGGTGAATTTTTTCTTTGAAAATCTTCTTCTCTGCCCCTGGCAACAATGTACTTGAAAGGTTAATAGAATAAGAGAATTATGCAAGAATTTTTATTGTATAATACAAAAAGTATTTTCATATTTTTAATGATCAGGTAGACTTGTAAGTAATAGATAAATAAAAATGGAACAAAAATAACTTGTCTTAAATGTTCATCAAAGACCAAGAGAGGCCAATGTAAGAGATTTCAACAAGAAATTAAAATAGTACAGAAGCACTGATGGGTTTTTAATATACTGTATAGTGAAAGTGATAAATGGGGAACAGATTAGAACCTAATTTATAAACTGTCAATGAATACTAGATTAATTATTTTGTTGATCCTGATCACTCTATTTTTCTTGCTTTTGGGCAACAAAGCTTCACCTTTCAGTTCATTTTGTACTCTATGGATCCTCTTAAAATCCTCCTAAATTGTTGTATTATACTCAGGTGACCGTTAAGGCCCTTGGGCCTCTTGTTCATTTCGATCGGACATATGTTTGGGGTTTATCACAGCAAAACCTGGACACTGCCATTCTTTCTATATCATTGCGGGAATACCCATCTCTTATCCGCAACTCCTCCTATACTACTGAATAACATTTATAGAGACTTACAGAGTCTGTATTACATAGTGCCATTATGCACCCCCTATTAAGTATTTCATGTTCTGATCTGACAGATATTTTGGGTTTCCAATAGCACAAATGGACTTTTCCATTATACTCATATGGAAACAGAGGATATCATTTTGTGAGCTCATGTGCTCACAGTACCTCTAGTTTTATATTAAAGTTGTCCTTTCGTGACTTATGCATCCATATGCTTAAAGATGGTTCTGGATAGGCGGAGGGCGTTATTAATTATTAATTTTTGCCTTTTTAGTATAGCTTGGAGACATTATACAAGAGCGTCATGACATTCTGTGAATTATTTCATAATTGACATATCCTGGGGACTTTAATCAATGCTTGAGGATACTACGAATAACATTTCGAATATGTGAAAAAATTTGTTACTGATGCTGTCATAAATCGTATAAATCATTTTTTTTTCTGGGTGCTTTATTTGAATGTCATTGATTTGGATTTATAGCACATTATGAGTGATGCAACACCCAGAGGCTAGATTAATATACAACATGCAGATAATGGGGTTTGGAGGAAAAATTTCACTTTGTGGTTAAATGACTCTCCTTCAAACAAACAACTCACTGACTTATTAACGTCGTTCAGCATAAGATCATATAGCCATGTATTGAATTTTCATTTTATTTTATTTCAATTCATTTCAAAGAGAGGGAGTAAAAATCCAGTGCTTCAAATACATTTCTTTTTTTCTGAAATGGGAAAATGCGAAAGGGGGGGGGGGGTACATATTGTGATGAAATGCACGTAATTTAGAGGTTTGTGGGTTTACGTGGATTATTTATGTCAGATACATCTCAGAGGGGTTAAAAAGAGGAAAAAAATCAAGAATTTCCGGACATACTATGGGCATGTCTTTACGACTATGATCAAATTGAATCCAGAACTGAAGACTTATCCTAATAACATATTGGTTACACTGAGAAAAAATACTGACAGACCATTAGACTCTTGAACTCTGCAATGGACACTACTGCTAATTTTGTTTTTTGTGCGATTTCATCTGTATAAATATAGCTGTGATATGTTCTTGTTTTTTACATAAAATCCTGTTAATTAATTGATTAAAAACTTTTTCCCGAATGATTTTAGGTGATAAAACAATGGGCCTCCGGACGATGGCGATCGCGCACCCTCCCCGCTCGGCCGGACTCCTTCCTAGAGCGGGTTGCCATGGGAGGAGCAGATGTTAAAATTGCTCAATCAGACAGAAAAGTCAGGAAACCGTCCGATATCAGGTGAGTTTAGAATTGAAAGTGAGAGAGTGGGTAGATTTCTCTCAAAGCACAATGGGAATCCCGATTAAATACACATGTATATATATGTATTTAAAGATCTTATAATTTCATTATTTGGCAAGCTGGTTGACTGGGGAGGGGGGTAATAATACAATTGACTTTCTTATAAATTGTTCTTTCACTGTGCACAGATACAATTTGTATTATTTTATAGACACAGCAAAACGAGCTTTTTTTTCATTGTATTAAATATCATATCACCTATACTATATAGGTATTAAATTTAATTTAGTTTTTTACTCAGATTTTTGGGTCATTATGTTTCTTGTTCATTGGCTTATCACCCTTATAGAAGTATTTGTTTAATTCCCGTCATTGATTTCAAAAATAAGACTTTTTATTTTAATATCGGAAAATTCTGTTAAGACTGTTCACCAGAACTTAAAAATAATGCGAATTAATGTGTGAAGTGGAAAAAAATGAACGTGTATCTTTTTCATCAATGACACAACTTAAGTATGTAATGTAACAATTTTGATGCACCAGATGCGCATTTCGACAAATTATGTCTCTTCAGTGATGCTCATGCTGAAACGTTGGAAATCCGAAAGTATAAAAGTTCGTCTCTCGAGACTACTAGTATCTCGATTGAGCATGACGTCTTATTGACATAAATTCTGCGAAGTGTGAGTAAATCATGGTAAATTCCATTAAAGTTTGAAGTATGATTGGCATGCATCTTCAGTAAATCAGGCCAATACGCTCTTGAAATTAAGTATATGTACTAGATATAAATCTTAACCCATCATTTCCATTAAAGGGGCTTCACAGAAGCTTGTATAATTCACTAACAGTAAATCCGGATTTGAGGAAGATACAACCATCCTGTAGGCTACTGTCAGCCGCCCCGGCAATAAAAGGAAATCTACGACTGGGGCGCTTTTACAGCACTTCAGAATTTAATTAATCAAGCGATTTAATGCAAATCCAACAGTTTGGTTTCAATGTCGTAGGAACACCAAAGAAAAGGCGATGGAAGTGAAGGTTTGTCATTGTATCGATCGGGTCCGGGGTTAATCCATCATACCTTTCAGTCAACAATTTCACTAAGCAAGCAAAGAAAATAGGCTGAGACAGGAAATTAAAGCTCCACAAGCAGAGTCAATCGCGGCAATTATCATATAAAATATACATCCAAGGGTCTTCATTCTATACAAAACAGCCGATTATCGGAGAAGAAGGGGTTGCTCAAGGAAATACAAGTTTTGTAACGAAGACTAATGAAATAATATCCCTTTTACATCTGAATATTGCTAACGAAGAAGGGTCAAGGAAAGCACCAAAAGTAATAATAGTACATTGTAATCTAATACAAATTGATCTTCAAATGATAGAGACTGAAACTTTTTCGTTGTGAAAATTTTTTGTGTAGCTCAGATAGACAAGTTTTTGTTCTTCCAATTTCGGGCCCAGGGGGCATAACAGCAAAAACAGTTTACGAAGAAAGAAAAGTTCAAAAAGATTACTACATGAACTGTAGATGTAGCATATGGTGAAACAGGTACATATGATATGCAAATATGGTGTATACAAAAGTATATGTTAAATAGTTAATTAGATGCGTTTTTTTTGTAATTTTATGACATCACCTCTTTTTCTTAAAGGTTCAATTCTAAATACTCACTCCATTGGTTAATTATTGTATATCATCTTCTAGCCAAAAGCTGTCATGATTTAGAATTCAAAAAACCAGATTCTTGCTTGGCAATCCAATCCAATGCTAAACTATGAACCTTTTTTTATTCCTTTAAAAGAAAATATCTGCGAGTTTTGCGACCTTTTTTTGTCGCAAAAAGTATTTGCGGTGAATCATTTTTTTATGAAGAATATTTTCTCTGTCACTCAATTTCAGATTGACGAATGGGGAATAAAAGCTGTCGCTAATAATTGTTGGTTTGCAGTATATACTAGTATATTGTTTTCTTTGTCCTGTATCTGCATTTAGATGATATTTGTAAAACATGTTCCATCTCAATCATAACAAAAATGATAAAAATGTTTTCAAATCAACCATTATCAGAATTGTTTCACTTAATAACGGAATACCAGTTTAATTTCTGATTGCTGAATGACATTTGAAGTTTCAAACTTTAAATTATTTATCTTTCTTCGTAAGTCGATAACCGTCTCTTTGATACTAACATCTCCGCACTACCCAAACATATCAGAGTACTCCCAAGATAATCATGGCGATTGTAATTAGTTATTTTTTATTTGAATCATATTCACTTTTCTTGTGCTATGACCAACTTTCTTTGTGTAAAGAGAACATTATCTGCGGTCTTTATAAAAATATTTTTAAATGCTTTAATTCATATTTGACATTTAAAGATTCATCTTGCCTCTCTTATTCATTTTAATTTTGCTTCAATGCTAATGACTTTTTACAAGAAATCTAATTTATGATTAAATTGCTAATGTATGTAACTGGCTTACCATTTTAGAGTACATGGGGCAAATCTGACAGGAATGGCCTTTTTACTGGACAGTTTTATAAAGGAAATTGGTTCTTAATCCAAGTGAGGGCTATCACTCTTATCAGAGGGTAGTTAGACCTAAGTCGTCTTTCAAGAAAAAAAAAAGTACAAGTACCTAATAAACGAATAAAAAAATGTGCGAGTTACTCTAATACCAATGAACGAATAAACTTTAAAGGGAAAGGGTGTACTTCCATTCCGGAAGTTTATGAAATTCTTGCGCATACAAAGAAAACGTAAGCTTATTCACCATACAACTATATACATGTAAATGCTTGAATCTCAAAGTAGATGAATCAAAAAAGCTTCTTAGTACTTTAAACGTTATGACAGATTTACATGAACCCACCAGTTCATACGCAACAAAGGTCCGTCGCGTCAAGCGTGCGCAAGTGGTTTCATTTGCCGGATGTCTCGCATGGAATCAACTGTGATCGACAGAAGCCGATCAAAAAAATATATTATGGATGAAAATTTTCAAACACAACAGTACAAAAAGTTGAATGAATTATACAGAAAAAAATCATTAAAAGTTCATAGTGCACAATCGTAATTACTAAATGTAAACTACCTTTCAAATCGCTTCTTTCAGCACATTGCATGCATGCTTCATTACAGCATGTGCAAATACATGTACTGAATTTTTTTTTGTAGGTATTGGAAGACATTTGTAGTGGACCCTTCACAGAGCTACTATTACCGTTGGTTATTTGTCATCTCTCTTGCCGTCATGTATAATATTGTCATTGTAATTGCTCGGTCTGTATTTGCCGAGCTCCAGACCGAGTATCTGGCTCTTTGGATGGTCTTGGACTACCTCAGCGATTTTCTATATATAATGGATATGATTATATCCATGCGAACAGGTAAATGAAGTACAAATAGTATGCAATATTTACTGACATTATACTATACTGACGTAATATTATATACTGACGTACATGTATATACTATAATATATACTGACTTTATACTTTCATGTAAACTAAATAAATCTGATTCGTCGAGAAACATTTATTTGAAAAAAGAAACTTTGATGAAATCACGCCCTCCAGGCTAGGCCTCGGTTGACAATGGTTTTCTTGGGGTGAAATTTTTCAGTGTTACTCTCAACTACATGCAATATTAATATACTGTTCTGAAGGTAAAAGATCAAGTTCACATATTTGACTCGTATTCTGGAAATACGGATGGACGGTAGAATTTTTTGCATTAAACCTATTAAACGTACAAATAATTTATGACAAATGTTGGTTGCAAAGTATAGATCACTGGCTCGCTCCTTTAACACCGTTAAAAATAAAAGAAAAAAGCATAGCTGCAGCAACTTAACTTTGTTCACTATACGATTTTTTATTTATTTATTTATTTTTTTATTATTTTTTTTTTTTTGGCAAAATACTTTATATTAAGTAGGCTTCCTTTATTAAGCTTCAGGTAAATGTGATATCATGCAAATACTAGTATTAGAATCGCAGATACTGAGTATATTGGCTACGATCAGCAGAGATAATGCCATGTCTTTATCTATAATAGTCCATTTATGTAGAACTCTAGACAAATGCCTTTGATTGCAGTTCTTCCAAATTTGTCAATCCTGAATACTTTTAGAAACATTCATACTCTAATCTCTATTGGCCAAGACGTTTACATCGCCCCCATGCAAGAACAGTAAAACAACAATGTATCCTATTGATTAGATAATGCTGCTGTTGTCCAATTTTTGATTTAATTTGTAATCATTATCAAAGATCCAAGACAATCGTTTATCATATATTCTCTCAGAGAAGGATTTCTTGTTTCGTAAAATCCAGCATTGTCGTTTAGAAAGCACTGCTTCTGATACACTGTTTCTTTAAGTTTGCTGGGCATATTACTTTTTTTTAAGAAATTAAAATGCATTAGACCGAATTCTTCACTATGTTTGTATCAAACATGACTTAGTAATAACTACCAGACCAAGCTAGATTTGCGGGTTTTATATCTTTATGTAAGCATTTAAGTCTTTTGGAACACATGATCATGAATTTCCTTGATACTAATGCATAAGCAGAACTTAATCTTGCAAATTAAACCAATGGTTATTTGGTTGCTAGGAATTTCTGTTTCCATGGCAACGAGTATCAAATACTGAAGAGATATATTTTCACCATTTTTATTCCTCATAAAATGTGCTTAATCATAAAAAATTTTATCTTAAAATTAAATATTTCAGGGAGCCAACATGGGTTTTTTTTATGTGAAAACTACAGTAGAAAAACTTAAATTTTATATCAAATGTAATTTACATTGATTTCAGTGTACATGCCAAGTTTCAGGAAAATCCAGAGTCTGAGAATTTTTAGGGACATGTCAAAATACAGGTTTCCATGGTTTCCAGAGAGGGCATCTCAAAATGCAAAAAATTTACGAAATTTTTCTGTTTTATGGATAACTACAAAATACGACATATACTTAGTCTAATGATTTAGGGAAAAAATATCAGAAATTAACTGTACTTTTCAAATTCACGTGTTTACAATTTCAATAGCATATACTTTATACTTTTTTCTTTTATAACATTTTTATGACCCCCCTCTGAAAGAAATTCAATTTAACATAACGTCATTAACACACTATTAATCTACCTATCACTTGAAAAATCATTTTAAATCAGTTCTTTAAAATTGGATTCAGATTTTAAAGCCTGTGATTTTTTTTTAAATTTTGTTAAATTTGATAAGTTATGTAAAAATAGTTAGTTTAAAACTGTAAATACGTTTGATTTTACTATGATGCGCAAAGTATTGCGCAATGAAAACTCCAGTTGGTCCTCTTAATTTAATGTCATTAAAAATTCAATTCGATTTCCATGGTTACTAAGCATTAAAAGTGGTAACAATGAAGAAAATTTCAGCCTTTGTTTTTAACTTGAAATTCCTCTTTGCATCTAGTTGAACCTTATGATTATGTGGGATTGACAGCTATTAGTTAAGTGATTTATAAATTACCATAAACAAGATGTGTTTGTGAAACACGGATGTCCCCGTAAAGCAACTTATAGCGAAGGTTAAACTTTCTCAAATGCAAATCAAATATGTTGGTACCCAAAGGAAGGTCTTGTCTCGAGGAATATATCTGTGAAATATGAAAGCCCTAGCAGCAACCATTGAAAACATATAGAAAAGGTTAGTTTTTTCAAAAGTAAGTCAAACTTCAAGGTCAAATTGGTCAAAATTAATGGTGCCCAAGGAAAGGCCTTCTCACAAGAAATACACATGTAAAATATGAAAGCCCTAGCACCAACTGTTCAAAATTTTGGCCAAGGTTAAAGTTTTTCAAAAGTAGGTCAAACTCCAAGATCAAGGTCAAAGTTGTTGGTATCAAAAGTAATGTCTTGTCACAAGGATTACATATGTGAAGTATGAAAGCCCTAGCACCAACTGTTCAAAAGAAATGGCAAAGGGTTTTTTTTTCCAAAAGTAGGTCAAACTCCAAGGTCAAGGTCAATGGGCTATAATTGTTGGTATCCAAGTGAAGGTCTTGTCACAAGGATTACATATGTGAAGTATGAAAGCCCTAGCACCAACTGTTCAAAAGAAATGGCAAAGGTTTTTTTTTCCAAAAGTAGGTCAAACTCCAAGGTCAAGGTCAATGGGCTATAATTGTTGGTATCCAAGTGAAGGTCTTGTCACAAGGATTACATATGTAAAGTATGAAAGATTTAGTCCCAACCATTCAAAAGTTATGGCCAAGGTTAAAGTTTTTCAAAAGTAGGTCAAACTCCTAGGTCAAGGTCAAAAAGTCAAAGTTGTTGGTATCCAAAGGAAGGTCTTGTCACAAGGATTACACGTGTGAAGTATGAAAGACCTAGCAACAACTGCTCAAAAGTTATGGCCAAGGTTAAAGTTAGTTAAAATTTTGCAAAAATGGGTCAAACTCCAAGGTCAAGGTCAAAATGTCAAATATGATGGTTCTCAAAGAAGGGTCTTGTCACAAGGAATACACATGTGAAATATGAAAGCCATAGCTCAAACCAATCCAAAGTTATGGGCAAGGTTAAAGTTTTTGCGGACAAACATTATAGCTCATTGACCTTGACCTTGGAGTTTGACCTACTTTTGGAAAACTTTAACATTGGTCATTACTTTTGAACAGTTGGTTCTAGTGCTTTCATACTTCACATATGTAATCCTTGTGACAAAACCTTACGTTTGATACCAACAACTTTGACCCTTTGATTTTGACCTTGGAGTTTGACCTACTTTTGTAAAGTTTAACCTTGGCCATAACTTCTGAACGGTTGGTGCTAGGGCTTTCATATTTCACATGAGAAGGTCTTTCCTTTGGCACCATTAATTTGACCATTTGAACTTGACCTTGAGGTTTGACTTACTTTTAAAAAACTTTAACCTTTTCCATATCTTTTTAATGGTTGCTGCTTGGGCTTTCATATTTCATAGGTATAATTCTCGAGACAATACCTTATTTTGGGTACCAACATATTTGATTTGCATTCGAGAAAGTTTAACCTTCGCTATAAATTGCCATACGGGGACATCGGTATTTCACAAACATATCTTTTTTTCCCATGGTAACATCACAAATTGACTATACATGTATTTCCCATGAACTTTTAAGTAAATATTAACATGAAGTCTTAAACTTCCTGTATCATCAATGCTTATAGTTCCACTTTGACACAAGTATATGCAATAAGATTCCAAAATTGTCAAAAATTTTCAATTTTCCAATTTTGAGACCCATTGTCTTGGTAAACATTCATCAATGACACCCCGGATTTCTAAAAATTATTTCGTGAAGATAGCCTCTACGCCTGTGTTACACAAAGTTTGGAGGAAATTGTTGATCATGTGTGCCACAACCCTTATATAAAAGTGAAAATCCTTTCAGAGAATGGCTCTTAGATACTAGGGTTTATAATTGTAAGTTCTTATACATAGAACTAGGGAGTAATTATTAACTATACACTGTATCTGGAGAGATTGATTCCTTTCCTTCATTCCATGGTTTTGACTTGAATTGTATTGAGTACATCTTGTATGGATTATTGCAAAATCTTATCCACTACTATCAGTAAAATTTAAAGAATGCATCATTAACCTGATGGATTTTTTGAGAAAGAAAAAGAAACTGGTTATTGTTAAAAGGCGAGAGCCAAAAATGTATTGTTCAAAGAGACATGAAAGTTTCTTTTTTGGTTCCAAATAAAGTAGCAAAAAAAAAAGTGAAGTGTGTTTAAAGACACTTGCTACAAACAAAAAATTGATGTATTGATACTATTTCGAATTATTATGATTGTAAATGATGCAAATAACAAATTCCTAAAATATGAAAAAAATTGTAAACTTTCTCTTATAATTAATTTTATAATTTAATAATTTTGCCACCCTTTTTATAAACCTAAACAATTTTTGTAAAACCACTTTATACATGTTGGAAACTGAATAAAAATTAAACATTTTTGGTTAAATTTATTAATTTTACTTAAATAAACAAATTATTCATTTTCATGATTTTTTAAAGATTGTACCAAGTGGTTTTAAACATGCTCCGTGACAGGATAAGATAATCTGTTCTTCTAAGTCTTGCAGCAATATATTTTGGATACATAATTATACATAGTAACCTTTTTCCTTTTAACTGTCACAGGGTATCTGGAGGAGGGACTTTTAGTTCGGGATGCCACAAAGCTCCGTAAAAATTACACTTCGTCCTCCATGTTTATAGCCGATGTGATAAGTATTCTCCCTACCGATATTTTCTACTTTGCTACCGGCATCAACTACCCAGAGTTCCGGTTCAATCGAATAGTGAGATTTAACAGATTGTTTGAGTTTTTTAATCGAACAGCCACAAGGACTAGCTTTACAAATATGGTCCGTATATTTAACCTTTTATTGTACATACTCATCATCATCCACTGGAATGCGTGTATATACTTTGCAATCAGTAATGCAATAGGATTCGGCAGCGACAAATGGGTATATCCAAATGTGAGCATTCCAAAATACAAACCTCTCACTCGGAAATACATCTATAGTTTCTACTGGTCAACTCTGACCCTGACAACAATTGGTGAAACCCCACTGCCAGACAGAGATGAGGAATATTTGTTCGTGGTGGTGGATTTTCTTATCGGAGTGCTTATTTTCGCTACAATTGTGGGAAATGTTGGGAGTATGATTACCAATATGAACGCAACACGTGCGGAATTTCAACAGAAAATGGACGGTGTGAAGCAGTATATGGAATTTAGGAAAGTTTCGAAGGAGTTAGAGCAAAGAGTGATCAAATGGTTTGATTATCTATGGACGAACAAACAGTCCCTTAACGAGGAGGAAGTGCTCTGTACTCTTCCGGACAAACTGAAAGCAGAAATAGCAATACATGTTCATCTCGACACACTGAAGCGTGTGGCTCTTTTTCAGGATTGTGAACCAGGTATGCTGGTAGACCTTGTGCTAAAACTGAAATTGCAGGTGTTCAGTCCAGGAGATTACATATGTAGAAAAGGTGACATAGGAAAAGAAATGTATATTGTTAAACGAGGGCAATTAGGAGTAGTGTCTGACGATGGTAAACAAATATTTGCAACTTTAAGGGAAGGAAGTGTGTTCGGTGAAATAAGCATACTTAATATCGCAGGAAATAAAAATGGCAATCGGCGAACAGCGAACATTAGGAGTATAGGGTACAGTGACCTGTTCTGTTTGTCAAAAGATGACTTATGGGAGGTATTGACGCAATATCCGGATGCAAAGAAAATACTCATGGATCGTGGTAAACTTATTCTGCGGAAAGACAATTTGCTGGACGAGGATTTAATGAAAAAGTTGGAAGCTCAGCAAGAAACGACAGAACAAAAGCTGGAACGGATAGATGTAAATCTGGACACTTTACAAACAAGGTTTGCTAGGCTCCTCGGAGATTACAATTCCACTCAACAAAAACTGAAGCAACGAATCACAAAGTTAGAGAAACATTTGACACGTGATCATGATGACGTTTCGAACATTTCTGCTCTGGAATGAGGAACGTTTTTGCATCCGTCTATTACAAGGTTCCATCGAGAGTTTGTGTTCGCCAAGATGCCACAGTTCGGCTATACGAGAATTCCTGAGACACTCAAAGCAATGGTCATTTGTAATAAAAACTATCTTACCAAAGCAATACAACCAAGTGATGTCAGGACAATACCCTTAGTACTGTGAATATACACAATAGAAATGCTAATGTTCCCACCAAAGACCATTTACTAATGGACAGTTGGTTAGAATAAACAATAATGTATGTTGGCTTTCAGAAAATACACCAATATTATCCTAAAGTGCTCTAAAAGTGAAAGAATAAATAATTGGAATAACGGAATGAATGAGTATATTACAGATGGACAAAAAAGCGCTGGATCGCTACTCCTGTAAGATTATTTAGAATTGTGATATGCTTTCTATACCAATTAAATAAGTAGAATCAATGTTACATGTAACTGAATGTCCAAATCAATTGCTTTAAAACTTTATAAAAAGTGTACTCGTAGACGACAGTTCTTGGACAAATCTTTTTGGTGAAATCATTTTATACATTAACATTGCAAGCACTGCGACAAAATTTGAAATATTAAGTATCTTGCCTTGGCCTCCCGTGATACTAAATATAAAACTTTGGATAGGCAGAGAGGCAATGCATTTCCTTCTGATAATGATTATATGATCCCCTATGATATTTATGATGACACGTCTATCTACAAATCGTCTCAGTCGCCCGCGTGGCGCAGTGGTTAGAGCGTCTGCTCTAGAGTCGCGGAGTAAGGAGTTGATCCTTACGTCGCGGGTGCGAATCCCACTGTGGGACGTGGAGACCGGTCCTTCGGATGAGACCGTATAAACCGAGGTCCCGTGTCGCAGTAGGTGCTGGCACGAAAAAGATCCCTCACTGCTCAATGGCCGTAAGTGCCGAGTATAGGACAAAATTTGCAGCTCTCCACCGGCAAGTGGTGGCGTTTCCATATGAGTGAAAAATTCTCGAGAGGGACGTTAAACAACATACAAACAAACAAAAAAAAAAACAAATCGTCTCGATGATGTACTAAACACGTGTTGCCAATAATAACCAAACATTTCACTGGCAGAATACAGATTCCTTGAAGGTTTTGTGAGAAAGGTCTTTCCTCGATTACTTAATTATTTCAGTTTCTTCATTATTTTGTTTTCTTAATGTAAAAGAAACTAAGGTTGGATTTATGGACTTTAGGCGCATCTCAGTTGCAGGATGAACAGAAAGGACTTTTTCCCGTTGCCCCCAAGAAAAGTTGTTTTTGTTTGCTTTGTTTTGGGGTTTTCTTTGGGGGGGGGGGGGGGGGGTTAATGTCCCTTCGAGAATTTTTTACTTGTATTGAGGCGCCACCACTTGCCGGTTTAGGGCTGTCATTTTAGACCTCTACCCTGCCCTTGAGCAGTGAGGGATCTTTTTCGTGCCAGCCCCTACTGCGACACGGGACCTCGATTTAAACGGTCTTATTTGAAGGTCAAAAAGTGGATTGGAACACGAGACATTAAGATCAACTCCTTACTCCGTGACTCTAGAGCACACGCTCTAACCATTGCGCCAGTTGTTGTTTTCGACATGTAAATGAATTCAATCCATTGAATACAAAGGAACAAACAACACTTTCTTAGACAGCCGTCCTAATGTAATAGCGTCAGTTCTTATAACCCTAATCAATAAAAAAAAAATGTGGTTTTCTGAAGAACAAGCGTGCTGTTGCTTATTAAAAGCGATGCTATCAAATTGCAACCGTCAGTAAAATAAATAGTTTTCTGGCGTTGTCTAATCACTACCCCTGTCTTCATCACTGATCAAAGTGCACATTGTTGAAAAATAATGACATCTATACATGCTTGCAACAGAATAATACATCACAGCGACCACTGTAAATCCACTCTGAGCCTAAGTGTAATGTCTATTATATTTTCTATATGCTGCAAAAGTTGCACATTGCCTTCTGTGTAGGCTGAAGACCTAATTTATTGTAACAATGAACAAAGCTGGGAAAGTTTGTTTGTATGGTTCCAAACAAAAAACTAAACGTACATCTGTTTATTATTTATCTTTTTTCTGTTGTTGTTATTGTTGTTTTACCTTTAATTATTTGTTTATTTTGGACAGAGAACAATGATCGGGAGCTGGAACTAAGTTATAATCATATCCACATGGTGTTTTTTGAAAAAGATTTTTAAAGTCTTGCGGCAGTTTTTTTACATTTACGAATGTAACTTCAACTCAGGAGTATTAGACACAGAGATCCTTAATAGATGTGTTATCACCCGTTACCACAGTAACATCCATGTCAACATCCTACCTGAGCGATCGTTTTTTCTAAACTTATTTTTTATTCAGACCATCCTTGAATGTTGGTGTTATATCATGTAATTATAAGACGGTATACGGATATCTGAGAGTCTACATCAATATACTAACACAACCCTTGTAATTGGTAATAAACGGTACTTTCTTTAAATCAAAGAAAATCAATTCTTTGTTAACCAAACTTGATCACATAATGCGGCCTTCTGTTTCAGCTGATTAGATCATAAAGTATTATAATCTTCACGGGCATCACTTTGGATTTTAAAAAAATCTATCTCAACACGATAGATTAATGGGATTGAAAGAAATTATATTCCTAAACGTTGGAATACTAAAACACAAACAATACAGAGTTGTTCTATTTGTTTTCATTTGATATAAAAACAACCAAAAAAAGAAAATGCGCAAAACATTAACAAGGACTATCACAGTTTGTTAGAGAAATTTGTAAAATATTCATAAAATGATACCAATATAGCATATTAGTGTACACTTTAAAAGCAACAGTATTGTTACCATACAAGGATAACTTCATGTACATAAATTGTTTTAAAAATATCGATGAATCAACCTATAATGACTCTTTTTTTTTAAATTCACAAATCATACTTCTTTGTTGTAGCTTTTCTCCGATGTTCTGATAATGACAAATCAAATTAGGGTTCACATAGATCATTTGAACGTTTTATTTTTCCAGTCAAAATAGATTGCCTGAGCAGTATTTATCTGCAGTGGAGTTTGAAGTTAAATCAGCTTCTGGTTTAACCGTAGTTGTGTCTGGGCCTGAGTATAAGTAGGAGTACCCCATGTACAGTACCAACAGAAGAAGAGTAAGCACTTGTAGCAGTACCAGCAGGCTCACGGACTTCTGTAGAATGGCATTACTTTCTATTAAGGAATCAACCTGGAAATGACAAAATAAAACTTGAATTTTTCTTTCACTCATCCAGTAAAGGGTCTGATACTACAATAATAAGAGGCCCATGGGCCATAATAGTCACCTGCATTCAGTGACATGGTAGGTTTTCTGCTTAAATTAAGGGGCCAAAATTTACACAACCTTAAAACTACACTTTATGAATATGCTTGAATTTAAATTTGACTCCTTTTAGCCAAATAGTTCTTGATGTTTTTAAAGAATTTTATTTTACATTACAATTTATAATTTGACCCCCAATCATGGCCTTATCCTTGCTTTAATTGGGTCAAGGTTTGAATATACTTAAGTTTACAGAGCCTGGGAATGCTTGCATACAAGTAAGACTATTTGTAGCTGTGTAGTAATTAAGAAGCAGGATTTTAAAAACAAAAGGCAGATGAAACACTGTACAAAACAGGAAAATAAAGTATGTATAGTTTCTAAGGTGAATCAACTGATAAGTTCTATTATCCGAGTCCTCATATTTCAATCTAAAATTTGATACCGTATTGTGCCCACCCCTCCCAACCAGGGGGTATTCTAAAACAAATTCAAATCTGCACTGAGGAAACTTGCAAATCTATAACTACTGTGGCCCCTAAACCCTTCTCTCTTGAAAAGATTTTTAATATCATCCTATTTTTTACTACATGTATATCATTTTATAGACATCATCCTATTTCCAATTAATCATCTTCCTTTGAAAATAAAAATGATCCTTTTATTTGAACATGGCATATCATTCCAAACTTACTAATTATACATGTATCTTATCCTACCTTTATATTCATTATTCATTTAATTGCCGGTAATAGTAGTATTATATATGGTGGTTTCCTCCACTTCTTGAAAATTCACTTCAGATGGTAAAAAGGAAGGTATACTTCTTACATAATTTTACAGGAAAAATGATCTTTCAATGATGATAGAAAACTCTCTTCATACTGTATTGCAGAAGTTTCTCCTGGCTACATTAATGTTTTGAGAAACTTGCAAGTCGATCTTGGAACTCCAGTAATCAAATACTCATTTATAGTTTAGAATTATTATATATACACTGTGGACTGTGTAATTATATATACCAAAAATAATGCCTGACGGAGCTGGCAAAGATATAACTACCTATCATCTTTAATTATATTTCCTTATCTCTCTTAGTCCCTGGAGTAAATTACTGTTCACTCAAGGAAATGAAAGAGTGAACTGAGGGCAACATACTCTTACAAAAAAAAGTTAATATGTCTCAGTAAGTTTTAAGTATTTTGCAATATCTATATAGAGATTCTTTCACTTTATATTAAAAAAAATCATTTTGTTTAGAAAAAAGGTTTTCCCAAGTATTCATCACATGTGTTCTGATGGTGATAATGTGTTATAGATCTGATTCCACTTTCCGTGGACTCATTACACTTTCTGCTGATAGTGACTTGCAGTAAAGGTTAATTACAAACAAACAGTTATTAATTTTTCACTAATGCTTCATGTTCATTTTACTCACTACAGGTAAACAGTTTTGGCCTGTATCCATAGAAACAATGTGAAAAGTGACATGCCCTTGGGACACTTCATGGGAAAGTTAAACAAATGTTGAGATTTTGGAGCTAATCATGAGACTTAAAGAGCATTTGTCATTTTTACCTGATCAATACTTCTATCATTTTCATTTAAGATGACTTAGCAGTCAATTTAATCCAAATCTTCTAATTTCATAAGCAGCAAATATTTTTTTGATTATGTAAGATTTTCTGTAGGTAAAAACCTCAATATCTTTTATTATTATGTATGTCTAACTTTAACAACAGAAGATATATTTTAATTTGGCAAGAAATATGGTACAGGTCATACCAGTTTTACTTTTTTTATTCAGACTCCTTATATTCTACATGTCCCTGTATTCTCAAAGACAATGTGTAATGCTACACCAAGAACACCATAGATGTAAATATCTATCTTTAAAACAAGGCATTTGATTTTTTGCAAATGGAAGTCATTGTAAGACATATGGTTTAATATTGTAAGATGATGTGTCAGTGCAACATACAACTTTGTCAGATTATACCAGGTAATTCCTAATGTTTTTCAGACTCACTTTTTTTAGTTCCCCTATTGTGAACTCCTTATCTATAAGAGTCTATCTTGATGAGTTACAGATCGTTTGCATTTTAATCTGCTTCAGTTTTTTTGAAGGGATCTCACATGTACTCTTAGTATTGCTTAGGCATTCTCAGAATGCTTGCTTAATTTAATTCTTTTCACTTAAACCAATATACAGGGCTTGACATTAACTTTTTTTCCTACTTGTCCATTCGGACAAGTGACCAAGACATTTACTTGTCCGAACTTCAACTTCACTTGTCCGATTTTTTTGCCAATAAAAATCTAATACTGTCAGTTGGAAAACTAAATAAAATCCATTACATGTGTGTGATGTTATTTATAAATACAACAAACACTTAAAACAAAATTTTATCTAGACTTTCTGTCCTGACAACAACATCACTGTTCAGAAACTGTCAACATAAATTCGTAAGTTCCATGCCTTTGAGTATGCATTAAGTGAACTTCGATCCCAATCGAGTGTGAACTCAATTACATGGAGAACCATATCGGGATCAAAGTTCGGTTTTTATGTACTGTTTCCGTATCTAAAGTACCGGTAAACTTTCAAGTCATTCTTTAATTATTTGGAGACTTCTTTATAGTAAAATGCACTTGTCCAATCGGACAAGTGCTCAGCAAAATCCACTTGTCCGTAATTTTTTTTCATTGGTACCGGACAAGCGGACAAGCATTAATGTCGAGCACTGATATAATTAGTGAGTAGTTAAAACCATAGAATGTGACTTTGCTACCATGCCCTTAGTATGACTTTTTTTCTATGTTAAATGGGTGACTAATGTTTTTAGTTGACTAAAATGATTTTTGACTAATAGTACAAAGTAAAATATACACCAATATTTCAGTTTCCAAGAATTTTCTCTCAATATCTATGTACATGTAATAACATTACAAATTTTTCATCTTTGTCTCATCTTAAATCACGGTTCTTGCAGGAGCTCACCACATTCAGTGATGAACAGATGGGGCTTGGTTTGGTAATAATACTTTAAATTTAATAAATGAGGTAGTATTATTTTCAATTGACTAAACTTCAAAGCTTGTTCTTAAATGGATACAGAAAATATTTCCATCTTTCCACCAGAAATATTTACTGTAATAATGATTCAATCTACAATCCCAGAAGAAAACAAAAATTTAGAATTTTCTGGGGATACTCAATATAACAAGAGGCCCATGGGTCATATTGCTCACCTGAGCACATTGGCTAGGAAAAAAAACAAATCAGTTCAGTATTGAAAAGTTTAAAAGGGGGGGAGGGCTTGAATTTTAAACTACCTGAGGACGCTTCCATATAAATATAACAAATGGCTTTGCTGTTCTTGAGCAGAAGATTTTTAAAGATTTTTTCCTATATATTCCCTTGTTCAAAATTTGATCCCCCATTGTGGCCCCTCCAACCCTGGGAATCATCATTTGAACAAACTTGAATCTACTCTACTAGGAGTGAAACGGTTCACCGCGGTATCGATTCACCGCGGTATTTTTTCTCGGTTTGATACACGGTGCAAAATCTCTAATTTTCGGTTCGGTTCATTTTTCGGTCGGGATCGTTATTCAGTCGGGTTTGGCATAAGGTAAAACATGTTACTCAGTATAAATAAGTGTAGAAAATGTAAATGTTTGATGACTGATAGCTTGTAAAATAATTTTTGACAGTCAAATAATTTTAATCAATTTCTTCTAGTCAATTTGCAAATAAAATTCGTAAAATATGTGACTAGATTTAGAAAAAGAAAGCATAAAACAACGTTGAATTTGTTTCCTTCTATCAAAATGTATCGTATCGAAAATAACCGGACCAAGACAAAATTATACAATACGTATCGAACCGTGAAGGAGGTGTATCGTTTCACCCCTATACTCTACATGAGGATGCTTCCAATATGACTAAACATGGCTTTTCTGTTCTTGAAAAGATTTTTTCCTATATATTCCTATGTAAAACTTTGATCCCCCATTGTGGCCCCACCCTAACCCTGGGGGGTCATGATTCAAACAAAGTTGAATCTACACTATCTGAGGATGATTCCATATCAATATGACTTAACAAAGCTTTGCTGTTCTTGAGAAGAAGATTTTTCAAGTCTTTTTTCCTATATATTCCTATGTAAAAGGATGATTCTCTATAAGGTCATTTTCCGGCCTAAGATGAAATCATTTAAAAATGTAATTTTACGTAATTTTAATCTCTCTATTTTATGATTTTGGTGTTTATTTTTCAACATCGATCACAGTAGTCATGTGATATAGAGATAAAATAAGGCGGTCAAATAAAGAAAAAATGAGTGTAGGTCTAATTAAATCATGTTTAAATGCGTGTTGCTTAATAAGCCCATACAAGAAATGAGGTGTCGAAGAGTCTTTCAAGATTGAACTGCCAAGGATGTGAATGAAATGCTGAACACATTTTAAGAGATCTTTTTTGTGATTGAATAAACACTCAGTTGTTAATTAAAACAACTAGTTCTAAATTAACAATAAAAAAAATGAATAAAAGAATCCATTTATGTGCAGGATGAAAATATACATGTAAATACAAGTCGTTTTTTATATATATCAATTGACCAGTGGATTTATAAAATCTAGAATGGTTATACATGTAATATTGAAAATAATAATAAAGAAAGTGAAAGAACATCTTAAAATTCCTTTGCTTTTATTTAATAACTCATGTAAATTATCTATGAATTTAATTGAAAGAAAACGTTAATCAAGCAATAATTTACAAATGGCAAATAATTCAAAGCCAATGTCTCTACCCCTCTCTCTTGCATCGACAGACATTCAAGAAAAAACGCAAAATTTTCAACAGCTCCTTAAATTACTCAAAGATTTTAGAATATGGTCTGACAAATCTGTAACATCAAGGATACACATGAGTCCTATCGGTCATGGAAGTCAAGTGGTTGGCTCTGGGGGCCAAAGGGTTTCTAAATTCCTCCTTCGCGGTCCAACAAAACTAATGCGTTTAACATGGATACCGACCCTCCCTTTGCTAAACAAGCATAAAAGTCGTTGATTTGTTTTATATATATTCTTGTACCACAATAAATATTGGCCAATAGAGAAGCAACATGCATAATTTATTTTTTTTACTCCTCACAAAAGGGGCAAACCACTTTACATGGGTGAAAAATAAAATGTCTTGTACAGCGTAAAAACATACAATCAATCACATGCATTCTATAGTCCCCCTTCCCCTTTGATATTTGGGTTTCTGAGACAGAGCCTCTGTTCCATAAGCTAGTATTGCTACAAAATGTGTATTGCATCCTTAAATCCCAATACTAAATTGATCACTTCAAATAGCAAAATAGTTCGATCTTGTGTCACTCATCAGGGGAAAATAGGAGTGTCCCTCTGAAAGGTGGAGGCGAAATTTCACGTTTGTAATTCCTTATCTATCACAGTTACCTACTATAATAATTATTAGTTAATATACCACAATAAAACAGACGTGTATCTTCCACTACAACTTCGATGGTTTCTATAATTTCAAGTCCATATGTACTAACAGATATATACTCAAAGAAGAATGAAATCTACACTCAAGAATAAAGATTCTAACTATATACTTTATAAAAAGTATTGTTTCTGTATTTTTAGCAATCATTTCAATAGATTTGTAATCATATGTAATCACTAGATTTCAGAACAGTATTTTCCTGACATCCAGTCTTTCCAGTCCTTTGATTTTTGATTTTTCAATTAGAAAAACAATATTTTCGAGTGAAAATAGCATGGCTTACATTCATTCTCTTTTATCAACTAGAAATTGTACTCTAACTGAAATTTTAGAACATGAAATAATCTTAACAAGGTGATATCTTCATTATGAGTAAATAAGCTTTCCCTAAAATTATCATTAAAATGAAGCAAAAAGTTTTTATTTAGATGTCATAACCGCCTTAAACCAAGTTGATACGCTAGTGGTCACTTTTTATATTAATAAGAAGTTTGCATGCAAGTTTTGGTGTTGGTTTAAGGTGGTTATGACATGTGTAGGAGTTGCCAAACGCACCCAACTTCTCCAGTTTTCCCATTGCCCTAATGCTAATGTGGGTCGATAGTACATCATTTTGTGACCCTATATCATAACAGATACTATAGAACCACTAACCAAACAACATTTATAAATAAATTGGATTATTACTCTGATGATTGAAGCAGTTTTTAAGGAAAAAAATATTGCTTGAAATTTTGAAGTCGTTGTATGCTGGAAAACGGCCTTATAGAGAATGTACCTTTGATGCCCCATTGTGACCCACCCTACCCTGGGGGTCATCATTTGAACAAACTTGAATCTACACTACCTGAGGATGCTTCCATATCAATATGACCAATCATGGCTTTGCCATTCTTGAGAAGAAGATTTTTTCCTATATATTCCTATGTAAAAGTTTGATCACCCATTGTGACCCCACCCTACCCCCGGGGGGTCACCCATTGTGACCCCTCCCTACCCCCAGGGGTCATCATTTGAACAAACTTGAATCTACACTACCTGAGGATGCTTCCATATCAATATGACCAATCATGGCTTTGCCATTCTTGAGAAGAAGATTTTTTCCTATATATTCCTATGTAAAAGTTTGATCACCCATTGTGACCCCACCCTACCCCCGGGGGGTCACCCATTGTGACCCCTCCCTACCCCCAGGGGTCATCATTTGAACAAACTTGAATTTACACTACCTGAGGATGCTTCCATATCAATATGACCAATCATGGCTTTGCTGTTATTGAGAAGAAGATTTTAAAGATTTTTTCCTATATATATTCCTATGTAAAACTTTGATCGTCAATTGTGGCCCCACCCTACCCCCAGGGGTCATGATTTTAACAAACTTGAATCTACACTACCTGAGGATGATTCCACATGAGTTTCATCTTTCCTGGACCAGTGGTTCTTGAGAAGAAGATTTTTAAAAGATGCTATTAATTTTTCACTAATTTGTAATTATCTCCCCTTGGAAGAGGGCATGGCCCTTCATATGAAGAAACTTGAATCCCCTTCACCCAAGGATACTTTGAGGCAAGTTTGATTGAAATTGGCCTAGTAGTTCTTGAGAAGAAGTCGAAAATGTGAAAAGTTTACAGACAGACAGACGCCGGACAAAATGTGATCAGAAAAGCTCACTTGAGCCTTTGGCTCAGGTGAGCTAAAAACATGGAACTCCTTTGTCAAGAATCAAGTTATCTGACATATTTACAAGCTTCTGGAATCAATAAAAGTTTAAGCTACAATGACTTTTTGAATGACCTTTGAAATATGACCCTGAATCATGGCATAGCATACATACCAGCCAATTAAGTACAATTTAAAATGTGTAAAAAAGAAAAAAAAAAAGTCATATTGTTGGATGTTAGAGAATTCCACTTGGTTAATGATTTTTTTTAGCCCTACAGCTGCAATGACCTTGACATTGAAGATAGAATTTTGAAGCATGATCTTCATACAACAGCTAAGCAATGAAAATATATGAATTAACAATTCATTCACATAGATGACTTGAGAGATACACACATGGAGTGATCCACTGGATAATAGATTAGCTCAACAGCAATAATGACCTTGAAATCAGACCACAAATCAAGGTCATAACAAATCACTTGGGAACTTGTAAACCTAAGCAAATACATTATACAATTGCATTGCTGTTTTTGAAAGATCAATATCAGGAATTAGCCACCTAAGGAGTACGATATTTACAAAGCCCAAAGGGTGTGGTGTTAGTATCAGGGCTCATAAACATAGGAGGGATTTGACTATATCATATTAAAAAGTGGCTTTCAATGAACATTGTAAGTAAATCTAGTAATTATTCAATCATATAATAATGTGCATTATGACTTTTTTTGTGGTAGGCAAGGCTAAACTGTTCAGATTTGATTATCTTAAGAATGCTAGTGCAAATGAACTAATGCCTGAATGAAAAGAACTAAATGCCTTTGTCTTAATTGCAATGAATTGTTTTGTTAAAGAGAAACTAAATTAAATCTTTCTTCTCATGCACTGCATGCACACAAATGTAAAATTGCACTGAAGTACACATAATAGCATTTAAAACATATCACTGTGTTGTAACATTTTTCTTTTACATGTGACTTCATCAAAATCTGTATATACAATGTTCAAATTAGGGTTGTCAATGAGTGATGGATACTCGAATACTCATCCAAAGGTCCAAGTATTGAATACTATAATCAGTATTTGAGTACTTGGGAGAAAAAACATGAAATAATTCTACTTAGAAATCGCTATTTGTCAAACACATTCTATTTTCAGAGATCTTACATTATCTAACATGGATTCCAGACTATGCACCAAGATTTGTAAACAAGCATGCTGATGTTATTTTAAAATGTATTCATTTTTTTTAATGTTTATATACATAACGTATCCGTCCAGAAATAATTTTAGAATGAAACAAAGAGAACAGAGTGGATTTGAATCTTCTGATTTTTTTTTTGTGTAGTCTGACATTTTGTGTAGTACGAGCAGTATTATACCGGTATATATCATAGATGTGCTAGGCAGTTATTTGCCAATCCCGTTAGCATAATATAAAATCCTGCAAGATCAAGCTTATAACTTGGGGAGAAATGATAGTAACCCAAAAATTCTTGTACAATTCTCTTATTCAATTGACTATCATTAAGTTGAATGCTGACTGACATTTTCATACTTATTCTTAGGCCATTATTTAGGGACCACAAAATTCACCCCTTCATTCATTGATGCTATATTTCAAAATTGGTTGAAAGTGTTTCAGTGGTTCAAGAGAAGCTGAAAATGTTCAAAAGTTTACGAACAATGAGCAACACACAATGCATGATGATGGACAAAAACAGATAGCAATAGGTCACTTGAGTAACTCAGGTGACCTAAAAAATTGATTTTATCACATAAAAATGTGTGTATAACCTTATTGCTGTAAGGATCCCTACCTTTGTAGAGAGAGCTGCAATTTGATCATCTGCTGACAGTATGGATGGAGAATCACTCGTATTGCTGTCTGATTGACGAATCTGGACACATCGTAATCTACAACAGGGATATATATACCTCATTTAAGTCATCTTATTCCACACCATTTATCTGATACTTGGCTGCTTCAATTTAAAATTCATTTTAAGATATCCCACTGTGTGTCCCCTGGCTGTCTCCTTACCTATGCTCCATTATGTTTTCTTTGGGAACAGTTCTCCAGTAGTCTGACAAATTATCAGGAGGATCCCCATTCAGTTCGACAGCCATGATCAAGAACTTATCTTTGTCTACTCCTTGGTGATGTTCTGAAATTATTCAAAGGGACATCTCTGAGTGCAGATTTAAATTAAATATAGTAGTATCCTGTGTAAAGCACACAGTACAAGATCCCCCCCCCCCCCCAAAAAAAAACAGCTACACAAAGAAAAAAAAATAAATAAAAAGTAGATCGACACTTGGGCAAATGGTTTTTACTGGCAAAGGAGAAAAAGTCGGCTAAGTCTTGTATTAAGAAAAAGAGCAAGGTTCTGTTCATAAGTCAAACTTGTAAGGCTCAAAAAATGGGGGGGGGGGGGGGCATGGAATTTCTCCACCTATAATGGCATAATGGCCCAGTTAATTTGGTAGTCTCCCTCAATCCTCTGTTAGAGGAGGAACCCCAAACCACCCTTCTGCTTTTTTTTATATATCCCCTGCTATTTCAATTCTTATGGACAACCCTGCAGGACTTATAAGCAAGCCTTACCATGTGAACCGACCCTAATTCTCCTAACAAAGGGCCAAAGGTCAAAATCTACTAATTACACGATTCCTACAGATTACTGTTATTCTTATCTCATCACAAATAATATAAATAATAAACTCTGATAATATTTAAAGGAAAATGTCATGAAAATAAAAAAAATTTAAAAAACAGGCAAAGAGAGACAAATCCTTTTAACATTTTTTTTAATGTACCTTGATGAAGATGGACATTAATTTTTTCCGTTGTACCTGGTTTAACAATACCAGAACTTGGACGAACTTTGTATTTTTCAGGTGAAGTTGTCTTTACCTATAATAAGTAAAAATTAATATGTATCAAATGTATTCTACAATATATTCTTTGATGAAAGAAATCAGTAGTCACTTCATTTAGATACATGTACAACTTATGTTGAATATGAAAAAAAATTCTCTGACTAGTCATTAACAAATTGAACATCAAAGATTTACATTACTTTCAAATTTTGCTTCCCCCTCCCTTTCCCCCCCTTTTTTAAACATTTTTGCCTTCAAGATTTATGCAAATCTATAGATAGTCTTACTTTCTGAATTTATCTGATATATTTATAATACTTACTTTGTATGCTATTGAATAAGGGAGTGTGTTTTTAAGACAGATGGTATCTTTTCCACCATCATCTGTAATGAACTTTAACTCCTCTGCTGGGCTATTAAATAAAATCCACACATATTAACAACCTTTAAGAATGTGCCTTCAGAGTAAACTTCAATTTATTTTCTTTTGTGATTGAAGCTTCAATATTTTTTCATTTGCTTGTCCAACACTTCTCTTTTTTTTTTTTGGGGGGGGGGGGGGGGGGGGGGGGTTGGAGGGGATAAAATTTCTTCAATTAACCTTGCTTTCTATTTAAATGGATACTATAAATCTTTGATTTCTTGACACCTTTCTCAGCACCTCCTAACTCTGACTGACCTTATGGTAAGAAGTCTGCCCACAAAACTGTTCCCTTCTGGTCGACTCCTCACAGGACCAGCATTCCTGTTGATGTTACTTCGAGGACTTGTAACCTGGAGAATATTATCTTAAACTGTATCCTAAAATGCATCAAACGCACTTCTCTCTATTAGTCCACATACAGCCTAAGCTATACACGAGCACAAATATTTCTTAGTCTGTGCATTTGAATCAAATGTTACTTCTCCCAAAATTTATTGGTCTATTAAGATGTTATACTACTATTTCCACATATTTTATCAACAATAATTTTTTACTGGGCAAAACAGAACCATGCAAGATACATGCATTAACAACTACCATTTGAAAATACCATATGTCATCATAAATTTCACCGATGTCCTTTAAAAGGTAAAAAAAATTTAATTAATCTTATGCTATTAGCCTTTACTTACCACACTTGAGTTACTAATATCTGTAGTTTCTGCACTAAAGCTCTGATACAAAGGAGAATTCTGGTCAGCAAATGTTACCTGAGACAATAAAATTACCCATCATAAATACAACAAAATTACCCGTCATTAATACAATAAAATTACCCATCATGTATACAATAAAATTACCTGTCATATATACAATAAAATTACCTGTCATATATACAATAAAATTACCTGTCATATATACAATAAATTAACCATCATTAATACAATAAAATTACCTGTCATATATACAATAAAATTACCTGTCATATATACAATAAATTACCCATCATTAATAAAATTACCTGTCATATATACAATAAATTACCCATCATTAATATGATAAAATTACCTGTAATAAATACAATAATATTACCTGTCATAAATATAATAAAATTACCCATCATAAATACAATAAAATTACCAAACATATATACAATAAAATTACCTGTCATATATACAATAAAATTACCCATCATAATTTCAGTAAATATCCAATAACAAATTCAATAAAATTAACAGTTATAAATTCATTCAAATTTGTTGTTCTTTCAGTTACAAAAAATGTAAAATATGGTATAAAGTTATCATGTCTTCATCTATCTTTATAAATGTTTTTAAAAAGTCATAGAAACCTTTATAGATACCTTTTTCTTTGTGGCATCATTATTTTGATTATCTTCAGCTTCTCTTTCCTCTGGAGGAATATATTTGTATTTATAAGTATCCTGAAAAATATTCATTTTTGCATTAAAATCACCAAATAAATGCATTTCAAGCTTTTACAAATCACCCAAGCCATAAAAAGATACAGGACCGTGTACAACAACACACATAGGTACAACCATTAATTATTTTCAATTGTTAATTTGAATAATGAGTCCATGGGGAAATAAAAGGATTCTACTCAAATAAAATTAAAAAGTTACTAAAATATGTCACATAGTAATATAGTAACAATAACGCTACTCCCCTTTTGTCTAATAATTTCCATACCTTTTATACCTTAAGTTGCTATTAATTTATGGTATACAGTAAAGTAATTTTAGTGTTTAAGTTAAGAATTATTTTCCCATGTAAACTTACAGTACCACCCATATGTTCTGGTAGGTTTTCTCTGTCTATGTACTCCTGTATGTCATTCTTACTGACAAATTTGAGCTTTTTCTGAGCTTCTGCACTCAACCAAGTCTTCACAATCTTCCAAGCAGCTAGAAATGAAAATAATTATCACTCTTATAGTAATGAAATCAATAAATAAACATATTATACAATCATTGTCAGCAGAGTGTTTATGAAATAAAAATATGTTCCTCTAGCCAAATGCATGTATAAATCCTGTTACAATTAATGTATCTTCACTAATCAAGTGATTCTGATCTGCTGCACACTCCTCCAAACACTTAGCCCATCATACTCACACTATCAAACTTTAGGGGTTTTTTTTAAATGTTTGATTGATATCGCTTGACTGACCAAAAAGTGTATTACAAATCTGTAGGGTTTTTTTTATCATATCTCTGTTTGGGATGTTTCTTGGTGTTATGTTCTAGAGAATAAAAATCACCTAACTTTAAGTTAATATATATATATAATGTGATGTGATATAGACATTGCAAATATATACTTGCCTTGTGTCCTATCAATAAATGATCATTGGATCCATGCTTTTTGAATATTCCTTAACATCTTAAATTTTAAAGCTTTCTTGTAAACACTGAAATTTATGTGTATAGAGGTAGTATTTCTGATACTGTGGCATGAACAATCCCAACTTTAAAATGGTTTGATAGTCCAAGGATTTGTGAGAAGTGTAACATCAGTATCTAGAATTTGTAAAAAATATTCCAATTCCAAGAGTAATGGTAACTTTAATTATCATGATCATACTCTTCTTCATATACTGATAAACATTTACTGTAAAGTGTAATTAAAAATCATTGAAAATAAAGGATAAAAGAGAATAAATACCATTAAATAACCAAGGCATTTCATAAATCAGAAGGTATCCTAAAATAAAACAGCTAGATTACCATGTGTCATCATATTCCAAAACAATTGTTTTTAAATACAGGTAAACTTCGTTATCTCGACATCGACGGGACCATCCGAAAATGTCGAGATATCCGAGGTGTCGAGATATCAGAGTTGAGACTTGACGTCCAAGATTTCACTGCATAACCAAACACATACGGCCTGCCTAATTGAAGACCTACAGGTAATTGAAGACCTACGGAAGACCTAGGGAAGACCTACAAAAATATGGGCTATATACAGCAAAACTAATATGATATTCTGATTTATCATGTCTTAAATATGTATAATACACAAAAAGTTTTATAAAAAGAAGTTTTAAAGTGTATTTTTCAAGCTCGGTTATGGGGAACTATTTCTTCTCTCAGACGACCTATCGCAAGAACGGTAACTCTGGTTGACTTGTAAACAACAACACGTTTATAATTTGGTGAAGTGAATAAGGAAAATAAGAAATACACAAATAAAAAAATCCAAATAATATTTGTTGAGTTTTTCAATCATGTTTATAATAAAGATATAAGTTGAAATATGAATTCTGATGAGATTTATACAGTGTATATAAATAATTCTTTCACATTAGATGTATACTGTCAATATTATATATAGTCAATATTTATTATTTAATATTGCAATTTTTCAAACATGTAATATGTTTTATGGGATAAATATTAAATATTCTAATCTAAAATATTGATATGTGTACTGTGGATTTGCCTTAAACCATGTAAAGTAAGATATCACTCTGAACTAAAGGCTTCAACACTAATGTGTTATATACACATTCTGAGGATATATCCGTGTTTTGATTGCAATTATCAACATACCCCACTTGCTCTGATGAAGTTAATTAACAGTCAACAAAGCAAAGATATATTTTAAAAATTCTTTGAATTATATTATCTTCTTACAGAGACACTCACTGTCTCTGCTACATGAAAGAATTAGATTTCTTAATATAAAATAACTTTTTAAACCAATAAAAAATCAATGACTTTTACATGTGACTAAAATGATAACATTTTGAAAAAAAAAAAATTTCCAAAATGGTCGCTTTTTTCCCTTAATCAAAAACATGTTTATATTACAGTGGCAAGAACAACTAAAAAAAAATTAAATGTTATTTTAAAATAACCTGTCATGTACGCCAAGAAATACTAAATAAAACATTAACTTAAAGAATATTTTTTTTAATATGTAGAGCCAAAATATACAGTAAATCGATCTTGAACATATTTTTATTAAATAATTAAATTGAAAGGAAATGAAAATAGAAGTTCTTAAACTTACACTGTTTGACCTCTCTTTAAAATAAGAACAATATATGTCATGAAAAATAAATATTAACTGAAAATAAATATTAACTGAAATAGGAATATAATAAGACTTTTAAGTGGAATTCTATGAAATATAAATTAACATGACAATTTAAAATCTACAGAATTAATCAATGAATTTATGGATAGCAGCAAGAAATAGTGTAATATATTCTGTCTGTTATTTACATACAAAGTATACAAATTCATTTTATAAATTAAACAAGTAACATGCATGTAATCACTTAAATGAAATGCATGCATATTTTGAATAAATTATTATTTTTTGCTGTTCAGGGTCAGTGAAATACATGAAGATTTTGTAAGTGATTGTGGCTCTGATCTTTAAGAAAAATTACTTCAGATTTTTTAAACTTAACTTTTAACACTCTGTCAAAAGCATAAACATGTTTATTTCAATTATAATATTTAAATTTGTACATTGATATACCCAAATAATTTTGAAAATAAATTTAAAAAAAGAAATAAAGGAATTTGTTGAAAAGAGTCCACTCATAGGATCTGGAAACTTGTGATAACAATTTGATAATTCATTTAAAAACATACATATATTTTATGATTTGATCAAATTATGGTAGTATATATAAATTTATGTACCGGTATATGTGTCTGCTTTGGTTAAGTTTTTTGTTTTTATTTTTATTTTATTTATTTATATTTTTTTTACAAAATAAAATAATATCTATTTGAATATTCCCTTTTATTATTTCATTTTTGATGTATTTATTTTTAAATATCTTCAATGATTCTATTTTTCCTCATTTAACTATTGATTTATTTACATTTTTCTGACATGTTTTGGTGAACAGCTGATTTGTTATTTACGCGAGTTATCGTTCTTGCGTTAGGTCTTCTGAGAGAAGAAATAGTTCCCCATACCGAGCTTGAAAAATACACTTTAAAACTTCTTTTTATAAAACTTTTTGTGTATTTTATATATTTAAGACATAATTAACCAGAATATCACATCAGATTTGCTGTATATAGCCCATATTTTTGTAGGTCTTCTCTAGGTCTTCCGTAGGTCTTCATTTACCTGTAGGTCTTCAATTAGGTATTCCCAACACATACACGTGTATAAACTTATTATACGTACATGACTTCAATATAGACTGTAGGTCAACTTATTTCAGCAATCCCTCTATTTTTATTAAAAATCTAAGAAATTATTTTTAAAAATTTTATTTATGAAACCTGTTCTTTCTCTTTATCGAAATCGTTCTAAATTTTTGTAGTTTTCCATTCAGCATTCGCGTGTTACTTGCTTTTTTGTCAGAACAGGATACGAAATGCGCTCTATAAACTTCGAACCGAACCGTATAAACATGATAAAGTCGACATCCGAGATACGAAAACATATGAAGTGCGTAATTATTTTTTTTTCTTATTTCATTCAGGAAGAATGTGCATTAATATTAATTTTTTAAGAGATTTGTGTATCTAAACTAACGTAGTGATATCACAGATGCATGAATTACGGATGATTCGGTTAATCGTGTCGTAAATCGGATTATTTCCTGTTGAATGCATTTTAACTACGAAATATTATTAGAACATCGTTTAATTCTTTAGTTTGAATTTATTCAATATGTTTATTATTCTTTGTAATTTAGTTATCTTTTTCAGTTTTAAAAGTTATGTTAGGTTTCGACATAAATAAACACCTGTAAATTTAAGCAGAATCGTGCAGATTTATCAGTGATATTACCCAAGCTGAACATTAAGCAATTAACGTCTCAAAGACGCCGAGGGGGGCTTTGGATTCACCTACAAACACAGTCTATAGAATTAATTAAGCAGCGTGCAGTCAAAACATGGGTGTGAAAGGTGTAAATTTTTGACGACGTCGAGATACCCGGAGCTGTCCGTGCGTGACGAGCGACCCTATCTGACAAACAGTTAGGTTCAGTGGAGCAGAAAATTGCCGATGTCGACATATACCAGGTAAATTTTGCTCTTGGGACTGTGAATATACGTCGAGATAACCAGGGTTGTCGAGATTACCGAGGTCGACATATCAGGGTTTTTGCAAATCATTTATATAGTAAATACTGCCGGGACCGCGGACGGACGTCGACATATCCCTGGTTGTCGACATATCCGATGTCGAGATACCGAAGTTTACCTGTATCATTTTATTTTATTGCATTCATTGACCTTAAATGAACATCTGTAAAATTTCAAAACTGACTGAGATCAATAAATGTACCTAATAAAAAATAACCAAATAAAATTTACCAAAAATAAGCCAAAATGTGCACGAATATATATCAAACTATTCAGTTCACTCAATCAATGTCAACTTTTTTAACTGTGGCTGAGGTTGATTTGGCAGATTTTTTAATCAATTTTTTTTTTATAAATAAATTATCCAAAACAAAAACTCATGCATTGCTAAGCTGCATTATACTTACCCAATAATGTAGGATAATATATCTTAAAGGATGTAATTACAAATTTGATCATTTCCATATCCTAAAACAGGAAGAAAAATAAATGAATATTTTAACCAATTAGCACACAAATACTAGATTCCTTGAAACTTTTTTCCAGTTTATAAGTGTTCATCAATGAATTTCCTGTTTTTTGAACACTGGATCTAACAGGAAACTAATCATTATAAAAGGTAGGTTATATATATCTCCTTATCAAATATATAAATAGCTTAGAAATGAAAAAAATTCAGGAGAGCAAGTAGGCCATTAAAATTCAGTACAAAGTTCACCTTTACAGTTCAATGAGATATTGTAATATCAACTTATCTACTTGTAAGTATTAAGTTGCATTTGAAACATAAGTAAAGATTTCACTTCAAAATGTGCTCCTTTTTAAGTATATTTGAAGAATTTATAATATAATTTAATATACCAAATTTGAAAGCCCAGTGTTGGTCATATCAAAAAGCATCACAATCTCATCCTCTGGACTCTCATTGTATGTAGTCTCAAAACAATACGCAAAATACTTTTTTATCATAGGCAACATATTTGGGTCTTTTTTGTGCATTGAAATTTTCAGCCATACTGCAAATAAAGTGAATGTAACTGCAGCATGTATATAGACACACACTATGGTAAGTCTTTGACCATGAACATCTTTTATAATTTACTTCTGGCTGTAATTTTTAATGTAATAGTTGATAAAGTAACAATTTAATGACAGTTTTAGTCCCAAACAATGATTAATATGTATTATCAAATCAGACGATTGGTAAATTGTGTAGCATGCTTGATGAAAACAATAAGAATTTTAATATGGAGGACTTTATACTTATTTTGCGGCCTTCTTTATCTGTGCCGTGGAAGTACATAGCACCAATCTCCCAAAACTCTCTAGGAAATGAGGACTCTGATATATCTATCAATCAAAAAATTTTAAATTTCTTAATGCAACCAGTTCAGTGTGCTTCAGTGTGCTTTTTTAACGGCAACATTTTCGTATTACAGTCAGACGTATAAAGCAACCTATAAAAAGAAAAGCTGAACAGCTTCTAGTTGTTTTCTACATACATGTATTAATTAATACTATAATACTTGTCTTCCTTGTCCTTCAACATAGTTTTGAATCTTCTTGATAAATTATGTAGATTTATTTTCTTTTGCAATTGTGTTCAACATAAATTAAAAAAAAAAAAAAAAGAATTTGATTTACCCTTCACTAAAATGTGCAAAATAAAGACTTCTCAAAACAAAATTATATGCCTAAAGAGGGAAAACTGAACTCTGTAGTTATCATAGTCAAAACCATCCTAAATTGAGGTAATAAATCTTTTACAAATTTTCAATTCATGTCTCTTCGTGTACTTCAGTAACAAAAATGAAATTCTACAAAATTCATTTTTATAAAATTCAAAAGGATATAACTATCCCTCAGGAACGTAATGAACTCAATGAAATATACCTGCAAGTGTTGTAAAAAGCAAATGTTCAAAACCTTTATAAACATTGCAAAAATGAAATGAATTTTTCAAATAAATCACCTCTGGCACCAATCTCTTTCCGCCATTTTAGAGCCTCATGTAACCTATCTGCAGCATCCTGAATTGTTTCAGTCTTTCTTATGAATTGACTGACATAGAGGTCATTGGAGTTTATGTTATCAACATCTCTCTGATCATAAACACCAGTCTTCACCAATTCATCCGCTATAAAATAGTAAAATTAATACATCATTTGTTTATGCCAAATTTGGAATCTATCAAATTTTTTAGGGCATGCATGTACAGTCAGGCAGTCTTTGATGTATAGAAAACATTTTGTGTAATATGTGTATATATTTACATTTCCATATATTTTTCCTTTAGATTCTTTGCAAATTCGAATGATGTTCATTTTCTCATGAACTACCATGGATGAGCAAGAATATCTCCATTGTGATGTCATAATACCATACTTGACGTAAAGCTATAGTGCAAACTATTTTGTTTCAAAAATGATCGTTGAATGACATAAATATGTGACAAGTCGTTAGACAAATAATGTAAATATAAGATATGAATTTAATTTTTGAGAATTCATGAGGCACATGAACTACAACACTTCACGCCTGCATATTTATCATGAAGAGCTGACGCGCTTCATGAAGTATGCCAGTGTGAAGCGTCGTAGTTCATCTCATGAACTCTCAAAAATTAAATTCATTTCTTAAATATATTTCATTTTAATCACACGTTTACTCCTTTATACAGTCGATATAGCTCATAGTATATCGTTTTAATATCCATGGTTGTGAATTATATCAAGTGAAATATTGTGAATTTACATATATATAACAGTAAAACATGAAAAAGCTATGTGTAAGACTTGTAATAAAAAAGAATCTCCCATGGATTGAATTAAGATATGATATTTTATCCAACTTATTGTGTGTTTTTATATAATTATCCCCTGGCCAAGGCTCGGGGCTAAACACATAACTTAATTGTTGGATAAAAAATCATATCCAACCACAAACCATGGGAGATCCTATATATATTTGTTAAAAGTAACATATAGGTCCGATGGGCAGGGCGGTCAAATAGTTAATTTCTATTAACGTTTCTCATTGCTTTGTATAATTATACAGGTTACTACAATAAATCATTCACTTACTTGCATATTGAAGGCAAGAAAGATTCCCTCCAAAAATGTAGCTTAATTTAAAAATAATTCCAATGCGTTCTCTTATCCACAAATTTCAACTTGAAATAGGGATTATAATTTTTACAGATTATTTTATATGCCTCATGCCTCAGATTAATAAATTTCAGGTCTAGCTTGAAATGGTGCTATGTAGCCTGGCATATGGTATAAAATTTTGGAAAATTATGGAAATTGTATGCTAAAACTTGATGTAAACATCAATTTGTATGTAAACATCTATTTGTATAAGTATAAACAAAAACTTTGTGTTCAATCAGGGATGTATATACTATACATAAAACATTTTGGTTCTTGGTTCAAAGTGTAATTTGTTTTTTCTTTAATATAAATAAGAAACAGAGCAAAAACTTTGTTTGGCGAACATAACTAGTATTTGTAATACACAATGTAACAAGAGTTGAAAAGATATATTTATAACCCCCATACATAACACCACTCCACACGATTAAACGGATGCTATTGCACACTATTTATTTATCGATAGACCGAGACAATCTACTCTACCTTTGTACTTTTTATTGTATACATTCCGTAACTTATCGGCTTGTGTTCGGGGACTCTGCAAGAGAAACGATTTAAATAGACATAACATTGAACACTATAAGTAAATAAAGTCTTTACTAAACCATCGTTAATTTTGTAAATCTAACGAAATACAATAACTTAGTAACATACCCCGTCCCCTTCCGCCATAGTAGACTGTATCGTCTGTTGCTTCCCTCCTCAACGCCTACGTAAACAATAAGTGAATCTCGATCCCGATATTAATTTTTGTTGATTTTTTTTGGGGGGGGGGGGGGGTTCCAGCAAGCAATAAACGCAATATATATACCACGGGCGGATTTAGAAGGGGCCCAGGGGGGCCATCCCTTCCCTTTGTGACCAAAATACATAAGAGCTTAATAAATCCCATTTTTGTTGTGGGATCTTGCATTAATTTAACCATAGGCACTCACTGATTAAATTATATCATTATCTTTTCATAGTTAGAACTCTTTAGTGTATGCATAAGTTGAGAACCAGTTTAGAGGTCAGTTATAGTCGATTGGCTATTCTTGGTATACATAGATTTTATTGGTAGGTCACTGAGGTCAAATTCCTTAGTGAGGATAGCTTTTGTTTTTTTTTGAAATTCACTTTGAATCTAGCCATAAGTCAGAGAGCTAGGATTGTTTCCATCTTGGTTTGATACATATATCATATTTGACTGGCTTTTGACCTGATCACAGTAAGTTCTTTATTTTCCTTTACTAACACTTTATATATCATTTGCTTGGTTGAATGAATGAGTTTGAATGAAATAGTATTTGATGAGTAAATGGAAAATGTGTAAATGATATAATAAATTATTTAAATGAATATAAGTATATAAGACACCTGTTTTAAAGTTACACTGATATATGAAAATGATGAGATCTGACCTGAAAGAATTTGTAAATATTGTATATTATAAAAATTAGTAAATACAACTATATGTTGTGTGGACAGGTTCAGATATGGTTGAAGTCAGGATTGACACATGTAGCTGTAACACCTAGATATATACATATGCAGCCTAGGTCCACAACTTGGTATTATTAATATAATTACTCATTTTGAGATTTGTAAACATATAAATTTACTTGAGTTTTATGCGTATGGAGAAATAAGAGTTATTTCCCTTTAATTGTGAATTATGAAGTGATAATAAGTAAATGAATAGGAGGAATATCAGTGTAATATAGATTTTATGCTAATGGAATAATTTGTGACAAAATATACACCTATGTTAATGTTATAAAATATTTATTATGTTTACATGTTTTGTAGGGTTGATATATATCTATATATATCTAATCCATTGTCCAAATTAAAAGAACCCAATAACAACTACAACCAGAGTGTTTTTCTTCTTTGTGGGAAAACCCGGTCAATATTGATATTTTTCTGGTGAATAACAAACCATATTCACCATCGAAAGAGTGAATAATTGTTTAATATTGAAACTATAATCTAAATATTGCATAAATACAGGTGGCTTTGGTTCAATCTTTCATATATTTATTATTTTAAAAGAACGCCTTTCCATTTTTGGATATCACTCCTTTTCGAACAAACAAGCCTGTAGTACGAATGCGAGTGGTGGTGGGGGGGGGTCCCCCACCCCACTTTTTTGGGAGAATAGTCTTGCTGTAGTTTAAATATAAAAAATCATTTATTCATTGCTTAGTCCCTTAACATTTTGTTGCAGTATGGTTAAACTCGGGCAAGTTATTGCATTTAAAAAAAAGTTTTACCGATATGTTAGAAAAAGATTCCCATTTAGGCAGTTTATTTGGGGGGGGGGGTGTTTCTTGTTTTTTATTTGCTTGTCAATTTTATGGGAGGCTGCCCCCCCCCCACTTCAAAATCACCGGCCTGTCAAAGACATAATAATGGCTCTTCAAAAGGCATAATAACGCCTTTTGGAAAGGCGTAATAACGCCTTTTGGAAAGGCGTAATAACGCCTTTTAGAAAGGCGAAATAACGCCTTTTGGAAAGGCGTAATAACGCTTTTTTAAAAGGCGTTATAGCGCCTTTTGGAAAGGCGTAATTACGCCTTTTTTCGCGTTATAACGCCTTTTGGAAAGGCGTAACTACGCCTTTATTTGCGTTATTACGCCTTTTTCCGCGTTATAACGCCTTTTCAAAAAGGCGTTTTTACGCCTTTTTTCGACTTATAACGCCTTTTGAAAAGGCGTTATAACACCTTTAAAATTTTTTTTTTACCGTAGTTTGATCCTAATAGGCTTTTGTACTTTTTAATAGATCTAATCAGGCCCGTAGAACGCGGAGGGGCCGGGGGCACCCCCCCCCCCCTACTTTTTTCTGAGTGCAGTATTATTGCTATAGTAAATTTTCCTTTAGATGCTAATACAGAACAGAACTTTTTATTTCTAATTTAGAGAGTATGAAATTATTACAATAATAAGGAAAAGATGCCCCCCCTTTTTGATGTATGGTCGAGCACTAGCAAATTTCATGATTTGGACGGTAAATCAGCTTTTTTTTAATTTAATTTAATTCAATTATTTTTATTTTATTTATTTATTTTTATTTTTTTTTTAATTTATTTATTTATTTATTTTTTTGCTCGTCAGATAATTTTTGGAAGTTGCCCCCCCCCCACTTTTGGTCAGTTAAGTTCTTTTTTCTGCTTTTCAGATATTTTTGCCCCCCCCCCCCTTTTGAAACCGTTGCTACGGGCCTGCTTATAGTTTGCCATCATTCCATACTGCCTTTTAAAATTTCTCTGAGTAAAACACACACAAAATTAATTTATTGTATGCTTTTAAGCTTTGCTCTTTCAGATATTTTAAAATAAAGGATGACTGCACTTAAGGACATGCGAAAATTGCGAACAGTAGTTGTATACACGCATTATGTTGTGTAAATAGGAGATTAATAGACAACATGTTTAAAAGAGAAAAAACTGTTTCTTCTTACATTCGCCCTCTCTGCTATAACCAAGGGCTGTGGCATGTTGAATATTATAATAACCACGTGATTTTTTGCGTCAGGTAACTGTGAATACTAAATTCCGTCACGTGACTTGTAAGGTAGCATGTTTTGTACTAACTAGGGCACTGTGCTCGAACACGTTGAATTGTCAGGCATCGATTCAAAATATTCTTTACTTACATGGACGTGGTCGTATTGTTCATTTCGTTTTGATACCTTTGTAAATAATGTACTTGTTTCATACAGAATAAAGGGGGGATGAGAAAGAGTAATCTAGCTCGTTTTTATATATGTCATTGTTATTTTTCTAGTCTAATTTTAGAAAAACTCTTATAATGTTAGCTCCACCTCTCATGCATATACCTAATGTTTATTCAAGGAAAGTGTCTATATTTGGAAAACAGTAAGGACAAAAAACATAGAATTATTTTATTGTATCACAGTCTAAAATCATTTTAACATTTAAAATTTGGCGCCAAATTGACAGAATTCTTTAGTAAATATACAAAAGTGAAATACAGTTAAGATATAAAAGCAACAGAAGCGATGGAATAAGACCCAAAATCCAGCGTTAAGTGCAGTTATCCTTTGTAAATTTTTCATGAGAGAGATATTAATAATTGATACTTAATTTTTGCATGAAAGGGTGAGACTTCTTTATGCTAATTTTAGAAATAATAATTATAATTGGCCTTTGTTTGAAATGCAGCACATGGAACAATAATTGCTTCCTGTCATGCATATCTTCATATCATGCAACAGGACCGCGAGTCTTATCGGTACTTATTTTATGTGGGTGGGTAGACCGTCGTCAAAAAACCGGCTCAAAATCTTAAGCAAACATATAAAGCGTGCGGAGTTTCATAAATTCTTACACAGAATGAAGAAATTGACATAATTTATCATAGACCGACCACACCCCCTCTGCCGGAGGTCAGGCACAGAGAGAACAAGCTGCGGTCGGAACGGACGTGCTACAAGGGAGGGGGAATGGAGGACTCCGAAGGTAGGTGACCAGATAGACAAAACTATTGATTTATACAATGACCATCCCTAAAAATGACGAACTAGAGTCAATTATCGATTTTTAAGACCCAAATAATGCTTCGTAAGCCAACAGAAAGATTGGGATAGAAAATAAGCTTGTTTGAGATGACACGCTTAGTCAGGATGAATGGCTGATTCAGATTTTCCCACGGGCAACTACTACATGTAGTGATTAAGTGAAAGCAAATTATCACTGCTGGACAATAAAAAAGAAAAAATTCTTCGGTTCACAGCTATTTATAGTGTCGTCAATTTTCCCCGATTAAATATAATGAAATCGTTTGGCTTAATGAATTTAATATATTTGGTTGGCTGGACAATATTTTAACCCCTATCTTACCCCGCCACCTCCTCAACGCCAATACCGGGACATGGAGCAAGTATGATATTATAGAAAACATAGCTATTGTATGCTCATGTCTCCTAGCTCAATAAAACCGTCCAACAGGTTTTTTTCTTGCTTTGTCAAGAAAGTTTTGCTTCATAGTGCCCCCTCCCCGAACTGAAAATATTTGGGTGACCCCACCTCCCACCCCCGAATTGCTTCCTGCATGGCCGGTATATTTATAACTTTTACTTTGTTAAATGCAGTGAGATGGACTACACGCGCGGAAACATTTATTCAGACTTTTTTTAAAAATATTTTTTAAAATATTTTCTAGACTTACTATAGTATTAATTTTTCCATGTACAACATCTGTTACAACCTACTAGTATTTTTGTTGTTGTTGTTTAAACTGTCAACATAATTTTCCAAAGATATCAATTTCATTGATCGAAAACATTTCCCTATACCTTCCACATTAACGAGCGGTGTCTATACATTTCTCTGTAATTATGTTGTCTTGTTTAGTTTTTCGATGTTGTTATTATTGACTGATTTTTATAATGAAAATTATAATTTTGCGACATCAGATATGAATACCCACTTCTAGATCACATCTTGAAACCATTCTTGGTTTCATTAATTTAAGTGATTGTCTTCGACTCTTTTTTAACCATTTTTTTTTAATTTATTGAAACAACTTATAAAGACATGGTGGTCAACTTTATTTAGGACAAAAGAGCAAGGGGAGGAAGGGGGTCGATTCTGTCCAAATTTCAGCTTGAATGGCGCTTATCAAGGAACTAAATATAACGAATATTAAAAATCATGTCTGTTAGCACGACCATGTAGACTGCTCAGGTCATGTTTTACAAACATTTTATATTTGATGTGAATTTGAGGAACGTAATTATGAAAAATAAGACTTAAAATGTGACAAGACTATTAACTTCATGTACTCTCCGGAGTTTACCGTCATTATTGACAAAACATTGACACACGTACACACACACACACACCCTCTCACACATACACTCACACACACTGCATAAGGTGTTTTTAAAATCTTTCCTGGAGATTGGGAATTGCTATTCCCATACCCAACACCTCCGCTCTCCATCTGCCGATTTAAACAGCAATAAAAGATTTTAATCATAAAATATGCTGATATCAGCGAGGGTAACGCAATCAAGGTAAACATTTCACTTTAGGGTAAAAAACAGTGGCGGATTCAGGACTTCAAAAGGGGGGGGGGCAAAATTAGAAGATATTGCGATAAGCAAACAAACAGACAAAACACACACACTAGAAACAAAAATAAACATACAAAACAGAGAGAGAGAGAGAGAGAGAGAGAGCGTTGGGATTCTTGTCTGGTTTCTGACTAATGAAAATATTGAAGCTGCATGATACATTTTCATAAAGGTCCTTTCTATAAAGATGTTCGGAATTTATAAGATCATATTTTTCTTTCCCTCTTACAAGTCTAAACTGAGTTTAAAATCTAGCAGTGACTATATTTTTGGATGAACAACAGCATAGGAAAATACAAGTTTTGATCAAATTAACTACAGTATACATGTAATATGAATTTAGTTAACACTTTCAACAACCAAAGTCTTAAGGGATTTGCTGAAGTGAATCAAATTCATAATCAGGGACTTAAGTTTTAGAATACATCATATACACAAGATTTTCCAAACAAACGCCATCTTGTTAGCCTTGGTAAACTTTCAATCTATAAACAATTTTAAGCAATAAAAACTTTTCTCTCTCTTATTTAACGGTCAATATTTTAAAATTTCTGTTTCATTTTGTATCGGGTTAGGAAGTCTTATGTGTGTATGAAACCCCCCCCCCCCCAATGAACAAATAATACTTTTTCAGTATATAGAAGTGGGTATAACATGAACGGCATCAGAAATTTTTAATCCTTAATGTCAAAAAAAAAATATGATAATCTTGACGTGACTTTGTCTCTCAAATAGATGGTCAGTTTTAACTGAAATGGTACCATCACTTAGTGACGTCTTCTTCATTGCGTGAAAATTACACAAATTTTAGTTACAATAAATGTGAGAAGAATCCCTCCTCATGTTGCAATACTTTTCAATTAGGAGAGAGAGAGAGTACTCATATGTTATTCTACCATTAATTTCAGGCGCGGATCCAGGGATTTTTTCCAGGGGGTGGAGGTGTCCATCCCAGTCAAAAAAATTCCAGCTAAACTTCTTTCCAAAACTTATCAAACCCAGAAAATTTCTTTAAAAGCCCCCCGCCCCCCCCCCCCCCCCAAAAAAAACTTAAAAACCTAAAATCCATTTCCCAAACGTGAAAAAAAAATGTATATCGTGGTGGTGATGGTGGGGTCTACGTTCTTTTTTTTTGGGGGGGGGGGATCCACAGTCATTTTTTATTTGATTCAATATATACTTTTAATGACTCTGCAAATTCCAGGAGGGAGGGGGTCCAGACCCCCCCCCACCCCCCCTCGACCCCCCCCCCCCCCAGATAAGCGCGTAAATTGTTAAGTTACTGTAATGTTAAATGTCAGGAATCCCAGTCTCATTTCTTATTAAAGAAAAACAGAAAGATTAAATTCTTACACAACTAATCAAAAGTAACTTTGACGGTATATGTAATTTGTAAGTTATTTCTTTTAATGGCAGAAGTTGTAATGATGGCGGCCAAGCGTGATGGACGGTCTGTGATGAGACTAGAGAGAATGTTCCGAAGTGAAATCGACGACAAACTTGTCCACCACGTAGCGGGAGGCCCTCACAAAGGCATCCTAATAGCCAAGGCCGTGGACAGTCAGTTACTTTGAAGACACATATATTTATAGTAAAACCACAATCTTTCCAACGTATTATGCAACTCAAATCTTTTCCAAGAGTTTCTGATTGCAAATGCATACCTACTCAAGTCAGTGACAGAAAGCCACTAGCATAAACCAAAACCTATTCCTTCTGTGTTTGATTAATGCCCATATATTTTGTTTTCAATGTTTAAATTTTCTGCAGTAAATCAGCTTGCACATGCAATGTATGTTGACATTTAAATCGACATTCTTTCTTTTCTATAACTGAAGTTCATCTCAAAATTTGCATTAAGTGCATTGTTATTTTGTAGATTTAAAAGACGTGGAACCTCCAGAGGGGAGGTTGGAGTTTCTAGCATACCTTATCAACGAAGAGCAACAAAATCAATCCGTACAGGTGACAAGCACCCCAATCAATTTTTGTCGACTGAAAATAATTCATTTTACGTCGTTTACTTTAATTAACTATGAATTCATTCAAATAGATTGACTCAGTTTTATCGTGTCAAAAGCCTACCCGATATTTCCCGTTTGATAAATAAGTTAGGTATTCTATTGCAGGATTACTGGACGCTGAGGTTTTGGTTCCGGGGTCAGGCTGAGGGGGTCGTTAAGAAGAAGACGTTTACAGACTACTTCCAGGAACTTATGAATCCTTCTAACTTCCCCAAAAGCAAGCTATTTAATTTTAGTTTAAATATGTAAACGTATATAATTTTTTGTTGTTGTTGTTTAAACACTTCTCATGTCCTAAATCTAAAATTTATGAAAAAATTTAATTGACAAAACGTCCATGGTTTAATTTCTAACAAGAATAAAATTTCAGAAATCTTTGTCATGAAGAAACACATTCACGTAATCGAAATTTAGACTAAAAAGAGATCAACTTTTTGTTCGACAATATGTCCAGTATTTGCCATTCATCAAGGAATTTAACATTCTGCTTAAGATTACATTGGATTCATTAAGAAGGCGCTGGTACTCCTTAAAGTCTACCCTGTAATAAAAAGGGTGGAGCTTGAGGTCCAAGAAACAGAGGATCCGTCCCCAGAGGAGTCCATTCCTCCTATTAGTAAGTCGTTATTAACGTTAAATCTATTCAATTTATTTATTAGATGATTAAAAGATGGTTTTTTAAAGCAAAATTATTACAGAAAATGATCAGTACATATGAAGAGTTGGTTTAAAAGTTAATTTGAAAGCTAAATTATATACAGTCAAATGACAGTTTGAAAGATGGTTGAATAAGAGCTCTGTGGTATTTTTTAATTCACATGAAATTTGTTACATATATATGTAATTTTATGTATTTTTTTTAAGTAATTACTATTGAGAGAGTTTTAATGTATTTAACAAATTCAGTATTTCAAATATTCTTCACACATTTCAATGCCCATTCCAGAAAGTTTTACATCAGTATTTACCCCTGCATCCTACACATATCAACTTGTGCCAGAGGTACAAATCAACAATAAAACCTTCATCACATTTATGGTGAAAGCAGCAGCGGACGCTCACGTCGCACTGAGCGCAGTGTATGGTGACGTAGATCGCAAAACGTTTGAAATCGTCATCGGAACTGACGGAAACACAAAGTCCATAATCCGTTATGGTTCGAATGGACCGGTAATGACTGAATCTATGACGATGAACGTTCTGTCTCCGAGTGATTTCCGTTATTTCTGGATAAGCTGGGCGAACAATAAAATTGAAGTTGGACGTGGAGCTAATTATGGAGTGGGTGCTTTCCTTCAGTGGACGATTCCTCCGAGCAAACAGTTCAATATCAACTGTCTTGCAGTTTCCACCGGAACACCTTCTAGAGGGCAGTGGGAGTTCGCAGAACTTTTGGGTTTGTACTTGTAGAAGTGGGAAAAAATTATTCATTGATCTAAAGAAAAGAATTATTTACAGGGGTTTAATTTTTTTCCTTAATTTATTTCCAGATGCAGAAAAGGACTTTGGGAAAGAGGCCAAGAAAAAAAGAATCAAACACTCTTTGTTGTGGATAGCAAAGAAACAGAAAATGTTACAATGCTTAGAAGACGCATATCCCAATATGGTGAAGACTCCTGATTTATTTAAGTATGAAAATTTACAGAAATATATGATTTACCTACAGAAGATTTTTTTCATCATTAATGACTACAAGTTCTTTTCTCCTTCTTGTCGGTTCTAATTTCTCAGTCCTATTGCTTTTCCATGCAGACTCTGTAAGATCAAGCAGTCGGACACAATGGCAGCCCTGGTTTTCTTGTCGGACATGCAGAAGAAAAATCTTATTAAAGAAGTAGAGGGCGGTTTTTGGATGAGAATTCAGAGCAGTCAGGAAACAGAAGTCAACAAACACGGTAGCCATATTATGCTATTATCTGTCATCAAACACCCTTTAATTTGAATAAAATTACGAAGTTAAAAAATTTTATACGGAAGAAAATTTTGGTGATATTTATTTTATAAGCACCGGTAATGCAAAACCAAAATGATCGCATTTTTCGAACATTAGTTTCTGAAAATACCCAAAGAGAGGAAAGTGAAATCACTTTTAATTTTTGTTGTTTTTGTGGTTGTAAATAAATCTGAACTGCACTGTCTAGGGATACCTGCATAATAACGAAATTAGAGTGCGGTCAATTAAAAATATACCAAAAAACCACTTAGCCAGAATGAGAAAGCATCTTTACATAATGTAGTTTCAGGCTAAAATGGTAACTAGGGATCGGGTGATTCCATTAAAGGTTTTACATTGGAATACATAAAGTGTATGAGATTTTTTTTCCAAAGCGCTCTTTCAGGAACGAAAAGACCATGGTTAGTCAGACTACAAATCCAGTATCTTCATGCAGTGCAGATTTAAAGCTTGATCCACTCATTCCCAAAATGGTTAAAAAATCTGGCCACAATAATGGATCAAAGTTTTGATGGGAATTCAAAGGGAAAAACTCTAAAAATATCCTCAACTGAGAACAATCTATAACTAATATTTTTTTTGTTTATCTCTCCTTCCGATGGGAACAAGGCCCTTCAAATTGAATAAAAATAGTAATCATTGTTTCCATCACCAATGCAAGAATACTCAGTTCGAAGTACTTCTGGAGGAGAAGTCGAAAATGTAGAATTACAAACGCATTGACGACAGACAAACTTCGATCAGAAAAGTTCACGCGAGTCCTTGGCTCAGGTGCGCTGATAAATCCACATGGAAAACGAAAAGAAATATATTGCATATAATGAAGTTCTTTAAACAATGACAATATTTATCAAAGTAATCTCAAACGTTTTCTTTGATGCAGAAGTGAAAATCGTCAAAAACCTTCCTGAGCTCAAACAAGCGGATCAGCCAACCATCGCCATAGTGACGTCACTGTTCTGTGAGAAAGTAGCAACTGATGCAATGATTGAAGAAAAGACGACTTACGTCAAATATAAAACTGAAGGTAATATATAAGCTGGTATTTTATTGGTGCTTAATTTTGAATGAATATGTTTTGAATGAATAGGATACATAGTAGCATATTACTCGTTATTTTCATTGTGATTATCTGTTTTAATAAAATATATTTACATTTCCAATGTCTTTGTCCGAGATAAAACTACTAATAGTAAAAATACTTTATTTCTACATAAATCTACCGGTTCATCGATCGGCGTGGTTTAAAAAAAATCACGTGCGGGCGGGACAAATAGAGACAGAAGCGGAGCTTGTAGCACGTGAATTTGCATAATCAAGAGCATGTAAATATAAGGAATTACTGTCAGATTTTTTGGTTTCATGACGATGATCAATCGATTGGCTTGCAAGATAATTATCACGCAAGCCAATCGATTGATCACATCATGAAACCAAAAAATTAGACAGTTATTCCTTAAATACAAGCTGTATACAGAATTGTGGATATGTTGCCTGTTTTCTGTTTTTGACTGTGAATGATAGAGACTTTAAGCATATATTATATCAGGAATAGGAGCTAGGGAGATCCCGTCTGAGATTTTTAATTTTAAAGATTTCTATACACTGTGTCAGACTCCATTTTTTGGAAACAAAATAGATTTTACATTTACTTTCCGTCATTTAAACGTTAATGTAGAATGGGAACTTGACCCCATATATATTCAAAAATCTTTTTATATCGCTCCAATTTTCCACTATATATGCTTAACTGGCCACTTAAAAAAAAAAAAATAATCAACCAGTAAGTAATTCATTAAAATAAATGAATCAAATGTGTTGAAGATGCCATTACTGAAAACATCATTTTAGAAAAATATACTAGGAACTTTTCCGTGACCTTTGAAAAGTGAGAATTTTTTTTTCAGGACGGGGGATTGTCCTCGCCTTGTACGTCCTCTTTTGACCGGTCCCTTAAAATCTGAATAAAATGAATGGAAATTTCCACGTATTAATTTTACCGTGACTCCTGTCCAAAATATTTATGTACAAATATTCGTCTGTAATTCTTTATAACAATGTTAAGCATTATTACAAAGTAAGAGAAAATTCTTCCTTTTCTCTTTCTATACTCAGTATTCGTATTTCATAAATATGATCTTCAAAAGATAAATTAAAGATGCATATTATATCTTTACTCTTGGATGCAGGCGAATCACAAGTGTACACACTAGGTAGAATTGGTAAGTTTAAAATTGTGTCAACAAAACTGTCCCGCAGAGCTAACTCGGAGCAAGAAACAAGAATTTCTGCTGAAAACACAATTACCAGACTTTTAGGTAAGGGATAATTTACAATTCTTCAATAATTACAATGCATGCATGATGTCAGTAATATTTGTCAAGGTGTCATTTTTCGATATTGCAGGAACTTTCAACAAAGTTCATCACGTAATAATTGTGGGGGTAGGGAGTGGAGTGCCGAATTACTCTGATGGCAATAAACACGTGCGTCTTGGCGATGTAGTTGTATCTGTGCCTTCCAGAAAGAATGGAGCAATCTATATGCACTGTCACAAAATAGAGAAGATGGAGGATGGGGATGGTTATAATTATTCCACCCGGGAATGGGACTGTAGCGATAATTCTTTACAAGATGTTGCGGTTAGTCTGAAGCAAATCATCGAACGAGATATCACTCCTCAGCGTCCTTGGGATCGTTACATCAACGACGCCAAGGGCGCCCTTCAAACAGAGGAATCTAACTTCCATCGACCGCCAATGAAGACAGATAGACTGTTTTACACGGACGACAATGGGACAGAGCTAGAAGTGGAACATCCGGTCGCTGGCAAAGCTTATCGTGTGGGACAGAGTAACTGTCGTCTAGCTGTCATAGCCAGCGGCAAACTCGTCTCCCGAAATCCTTGGCTCCGACAGTCGTTTGCAGAACTGAACGGAATCAGTGCATATGACAGTGACGTCAGTGCTGTTTTAGAATCGTTAGAAGGGAACCGGAATAACAGCTTTATCATCATTCGTGGGATCTCAGATTATTCGAGCGGATCCAGAAAGGAGTGGCAACCTTACGCCTCTCTTGCTGCAGCTGCTTACATGAAATCGTTAATCTACGCCTTGGCGTGAATCATTCCCTTGCTTATTTGAGACTTAAGCTTAGAAATAACTTTGAGAAGATGGGCGAACATAGCGTGCAGAAAACCTATAGCTTCAGATATATAAAAATCACGTACAACTTGTGAATTTAATATTTAGAGTTAAGTTCTCATTATTGAAATTTATGAAATTATGTTAAACAAAACTATTCTCAGGAAAATTTTCTCGGCGAAATTTATTCTTTCATTAAAGAGACACTGTGACAGACAAACGGGAAAATTGACAAAAGAGGAATTTTTGCAAGACACATGCAAATTTTATTCAATTCTTGAGAGTATTAGGTTTCAGAAAATTACAGGTTTCAGAACTTAAAAAATCTTTTATGGAGAAATATATCTAAAAATAATTTTAGTTTGCCCCAACACGAAAGTATTGCTTCACCTCTTCCTCTTTAAGATACGCATGCGCAGAACAGTTGAAGAAGTTACGATGGTTATAAATGTCGGATGACCGAGGCTTTTGATATAATTTTCAAAAAAGATGATCAGAACTTATTCCTCTCTTTTGATTGCTCTAATTGAATGTTGTTTTCAAGTTTCACGCTAAAGATAAAAGGCACATGACCTTGACATTGACGATAACAACCACGCCATAGGTACAACTTTTCTTTTTCCGGCACTTACATTTTGCAGTCTTTTCTTGCTTTTACCGTGCAGTTGAGATCTCAAAACTTCGCCTTATTCATATTTCTCATAAATCTTTAGCTTTATGATACAATTATCTTATAAGAAACACATGTTACTGACTCACTATGTAACTTTAAAATGGTATTTGTGGGGTTCGAACCCTAGCAATAAAAACCCTGAGTACTATTTACTTTCGAGTCACTTTCAAGTGTATTTTTAAGGTATAGTGGGTCTATGCTCCATATTTTTGGTAACCAAAAATGTATATTTTTATGCAAGCTTAGAGGATTAACTTTCAAAAAAAAAAAAATGGAGCGAAGACCCACTCGTATCGAAAATAGAGTTTTAATATGAGAAAATGACTCTTTTTTACTCTCTTTAGTGTGTGTATAATATTTCATAAGCAAATAATTTCAATCTTTGTGAGATTTTTGCAAATTGTAGAAATTTTACATAAAGTATATTTACATGTTAGATGAAAAATCAAGGAAAATTTTGATATAATTGAGATTTAATTTTTCACCTTCATGTTTGTCACACTATGGACTTTTCGCTCGTCATGTTTACCCATCTTCTTTGCTTAATAAAGCTTGCTGAATTCAGATAATTATTTACACTTTCTGTTTTTTGTTTTTTTTTAACTAAAAACCAAAAAGGCGTTAATGAAAATATATTTCTGTAGTTATTTGTTCGTAACCATAGTTATTCTATGAAAGGACACCTCCTAAAACTTTCTAGTGAGCTCGTACTCAAGAGAACCACATAGTGTTTTATCCAATACATACTTAGTATATATACAATATAGTCATATTATATTGATATAGGCATTTTCTTTGTCAAAAGCTTACACGAGGAGATGAGATTCTACATTTTTTTTATTATCGGGTGTACAGTATTTATTTCCAAGCGAACAATAGGTGCGATAGCTATCTGTAAATAGTCCTTGTTCGTAACAAAGAAAAAGTAATGATGATTGCGCGAGAATGTAGGCATTGGAATGTGAAATGCTGTTACTGAGCATGCATAAAATTGTACCTCGAAGGCTTCTTTTAGACAATGATGTAGAATTTCATGATAAACGTTGGAAAAATTGATTTGACCAATTCATTACAACTGATAAGGGTAAGGACGATTAGCAACCCCAGTTGATAAAATTCTTGGGATATTAATAAAAATTAATATTGTAATGTGAAATTTTTATTTATTCTTTCACCGTTCTCTCAAAACGGAACAATTTCCAAAGAACTTCTCTGACATTACAGAAACAATACTTGTCTAGAATTCTTCAGTAGAAGTGAGGTACTTTTTGAATGGTAAAAATTGCCTCCTGAGATCATTCAATTTGCGACATAATAATACGACATTCATTAAATACCTGGTACACAAAACAACAGCACAATGTTCTTATTTCAAATCACCCCTTCTCAATATCCTTTTTATATCTAACAAAAGTGAAACACAGACAGAATGAGACACAAAAAATAAACATCACACCAAGTAAAATATGACAGATGACAATCTGCCATAGCGCAAAATTGAACACCATTCTGTCGCACCAGTTCTTCGGTTCGTGCAATGGCGCCTTGAATTTTGGAACCCCAAGCCCAAACAACCAGAAGTTTCCAAACACAAACCAAACGCACAGAAATAATGTAAGACACACGTGTGTCACCTTAGTCAAAGTCATCAGTTCAGAATCATCGCGTATTGTATCGTCGTCATCATCACGTAACTTCCGGGCCTGCTTGCACATGAGCATTAAGAGTTTTAATCCCCCAAAACATCCGCCCACCAATAGATATATTGGAATTTTGGGTTCTCGTGGACATTCCTCTAAATACTTCACTCCTGAAAGTATACAGTGTAAAAGTGGAGATAACGAACAGTGATCAATTTCATAAATACAGTAGTTAAAAACAAATTGTTTAACAAAGCTAGGGATAAATACCCCCAGAGCTTATTAAATGCAAGCATTATTGAAGATGTACAATATCTATTTTGTATGTCACCATTTTATGCAGTCCTCGATCCTCTCCGAGTATCTAAGTTCATAAAATACATGTACGCTCTGATCATAAGCAAACTTTCCAGTACGAGTTTCTGGAACATCAGAATAATATATCTTTGGTCCTAAAATCTTTACACTTCTAGACTCTCCGAACTCATTTTGGTCATTATAAACATTGTGGTCAGTGGTAATTCATATATAATAATACGATGACCCTGACCTTGACCATATGATTGATTTCGTAAATCACCACACCTCTTTGGTTATGAGCAATTTTGATATCATCCTCAGATTAATAGCCTATTATTTTACAAATCAAAAAGCTAAGGCCCAAGCAAGAATTTTGTTATACATCTTGTTTCAGGGTCCTCATAAACCATTCGTTTCCTTGCGCCAATATAATGATGATCTAATAGAGACTCTGTGGGGAGAATATTTAAGAGAAAGTTCGTTAATTAAAAATTAATCATACTCCCCCCCCCCCCAAATCATACATGTTAGTCACCAAGGAATTCTTGATATTATCTGCTAAGATTTTTTTTGTGCACATTAATGATATAAATAATAAATGCTTTAAAAATTAAGTTGAGGATATTTGATCTTACCTATAATTATCATGGTAACAGGCAAGGCTAAAAGTAATCCGAGAAAAACAGTAGCAGGGACTGAAATAAAATCAAAATATGTTACTATAAATAATGTTCATATCTCCATTAAAAAAAGAATTGGATTTATTTGTAGAATGAAATATATGGAGATAACGAACAGTATTCAAGCTCTAAAGTCCATTATACAATACAAAATAGGAGCAGAGCAAACACGGACCTCCAAACATCAGAGGTGGGATCAGATGCCATGGAGGAGTGAGCATCCCCTGCCGACCGGTCACACCCGCCGTGTGCTCCTTGTCATGATCGGGAAATAACGGAAAAATCCGTCGACAATTCAGTGTAAATAATGGCCTAACAATTAGTATGAAAAACGTCAGTCAGCATTTGACTCAATGATAAATTGTATTTGCTGACAAGGTCATTGTATCGACCATAGAACTTACGAAATGATGACTTTAGACGAGACAGCTGATATTCTTGTTTCATCAACTTATTTGTCAATAATTTACCTCGTTTTAGAAAATGTACATACGTAGTGCATGCTCTATCGAATCAACTGAGAGATATATACCTCGTATGCAGGTGATGAAGGTATATTGCTGCATAAGTAAGGGAAGTTGACGATTACAAAGTTAAAGTCATCACGTTTATCATAAAGCTTGGTTGTTAGATTACCATTAACGTCTTTTTCAAGTAAAATATCCAAATATGAAACAGATGTGTCGGACTCTGTGGTATCTTTTATAGATACTGTACTCTTTGTGGTACTCTTTTTAGAAGCAATGAAAAATCTCAATTTCGGGGGGGGGGGGGGGGAATAGTGAATATGTATGTCATTTTGTATGTTTTTTCTTTATACAGCATTCATTGTTAAATTGTTCACGTAATTAAATTGTTCCCAAATTATTCCCATAATTAAATTGTTCACCTAATTAAATTGTTCACTTAATTTCAATCATTTTAAGGTTCACCATACTCCTGTTCACGCCAATAAAATTCTGCTCTCACGCTAATGATTTTACAAAAGAAATCAAAATACACACAATTTCAGCATACCTTCTGGGGCCAAATTTGACAGAAATAGACTTTGACAAGACAGGTTTACTTAGGAATAAAAGTCATTTATCTCAGTGAGAGTTATCTTTCTTATCAATGGATTAATGAACTTTTAAGACAAACCGGCGCCTATAACAACATTCGAAGTAAGCACTTTTTAAAATATCCACATCACTGTCAGGAATATTTCAAGACATAAATAATGTTATTTATGTCTCTGGAATATTTCTCTGGATTTCAAATTCAACCTTTGGTTAAAAGTGATTGACTATTTCTTCATTACTATTATACACACATGTAAGTCAATAATACTGCTCACCAGTTCGTCCAAAAATGATAAAAGCTCTATGTACAAAGTCGCAAGGATTTCCGGCCTCATCACATGCTTCCACAAGTCCAACATACACAGACAGCGAGTTTCCTTCCGCGGGGTCAGTCCAAAGGACAAAGCTTCCATAGTACTGTGGTTTATCACAAGGACTGTTAATGTTGCTTGACTATAAAACATACACATAAAGCATTAATGCAAAATATTGCTCCTCTAAAATAAGCTTTTTGATAGCTTAAAATAGAAATGCGTTAATTTATTGCTATATAAAACAATTCAAAAATGTAGTACCCGTGTATTCTGTCACGTTATCAGAAAGAATTTCGTCAGATTAATATATTGTACAGAGAATCTTTACTTTGTTCTGAGTAAAGGGACTGGGAGTTCCGAAATTGTGTCGTTGGTCATTTTTAGTGATTTCTCTCTCTCTCTCTCTCTCTCTCTATATATATATATATATATATGAATGTAAAATACATTTTTTCAATTAGAAAAGTAACATAAATTTCTAATTTTAAAAATTAAACAAGAGGCCCAAGGGCCTTAACGGTCACCTGAGTACAACGATTTAAAGGATCCATAAACTGATAAAGGAAGCTTTGTTGCAAAAAAGCAAGAAAAATAGTACGATTAAGATCAACAAAGTAATTGTTCTAGTATCTATCTATCTGTCCCCCATTTATCACTATTACCATGCAGACTTTTAACAAAATGTCTATTACCTCTCATATTGACCTCACTTGGCCTTTGAAGAACATTTAAAAAGATAAGTTATTTTTGTTTCATCTTTAATCTTGTATTATTTCCAAGTCTACCTGATCATTTAGACTAAATAAGTACTTTAAAATTTTGTATTATATAATAAATGTTCTTGCATAATTCTCTTATTCTATTAACCTTTCAAATACATTATCTATAGTGATTAATTTTCAAAGGTGAATGGCAAAGGGGAATAACTTCACTCAGTAGAATACAAATTAATAGAGCGCTAGCCAGGACCAGAACACTTGACTAAATGTTCAAAATTCTGGTAAAAATACCCTTGCACATTAAAACGTTTTACTCTGTTTGCCTCCAGTATGCCCAGGAGCAGAGAAGAAATAATACCTTTTCACTATTTAACACAGCCCTACCCTAACAACAGAACCCATGACCCAGGGTCATGAAATTTACAAATATGGAAGAGGTACTCTTATTATCATAACTATGCAATTACATGTAGTTGAAGATTTTCAAAGAATTCACCCATTTTCACTATAATGTCAATAGAGCCCCCCCCTCCCCCCATTCACAGAAACAAAGGAACCCCTGGGACCACAAGTTTTAAAAAATTTGTAAAAGCATCCTTGCGGATCACAACTATACACTTGTTTCTTTGCTTTATAACCAGGAGTAGAAAAAATATTTTGAAAGAAATAATAAATTTTCATTATATAATCAATAGAGTCCCCCCTCCCTTTCACAGAACCCCCGACCCTGGGGACATGAATTTCACAATTTTGGAAGAGGCACTCTTGCTCATCATAACTATGTGCTTAGTTTATTTAATACCCAGGAGCAGAGAAGAAGATTTTCAAAGAAATAATGGATTTTCACTATATAATCAATAGAGTCCCGCCCTAACACCAGAGCCCCTGACTCTGGGGCCATGAAATTCACAATTTGGAAGAGGCAGCCAAGCTCATCATAACTATGTACTTAGTTAGGTCATTTAATACCCAGGAGCAGAGAGGAAAATTTTCAAAGATTTAATGAATTTTCACTAAATATTCAATTATGGTGCCCCGCCCTAACACCAGAACGCCTGACCCTGGGGCCATGAAATTAACAATTTTGAAAGAGGCACTCTTGCTCATCATAACCATGCACTTCATTAGTTTATTTAATACCCAGGAGCAGAGAAGAAGATTTTTAAAGAAATAATGCACTTTCACTATATGATCTATAAAGCCCAACCCTAGCACCAGAACCCCTGACCCTGGGGCTATGAATTTCACAATTTTGGTAGAGGGCTCAATGCTTATTACAATCATGCCAACAGTTTGACTGCCTGATGTCCAGGAGTATAGAAGAAGATTTTTAAAGATTGCATTATTTTTGGTGGTTTTAGCCCCACCCCTCAGGCCCAGGGGGGCAGGGACCATGAAATTCATAATTTTTGTCCCCCTTCACCCATAGATGCTATATGCCAAAATTGGTTGAAATTGATAGAGCAGTTTCAGAGAAGAAGCTGAAAATGTTTAAATGTTAACGCACGACGGACGTCGCACGACGACGGACAAAAACGGATAGCAATAGGTCACCTGAGTGACTCAGGTGACCTAAAAAGTAACATAATCAGAGAGGTTCCGGCACTCTGGATGGTTAGTTCAATTGAGTGCTTTTTTTCATAAGATTGTTGATTGAGCAATCGTTTGTGTAGGTGGAAAAACCGTGACATCATAAAAACCTAATTGGAACTCGACCTCGAGCTTACCGCCTTCTGACATAAGGCAGGTGTTTTTAGAATAGGTTCTCGAGCTTACCGCCGGCGCGAAAAAATACCGCCGGCGGGTAAATGTATTTCATAAAAATAAATAATATATATCTTGTAAGTGCACTAAAAAGTTTTGAGAAATAACTGTTTATATACATAAATAAAATAAGGAATTTACAGTCTTGACAGATATGCAGTTTTCTGCTCTGTGTAAACATTGCGACAGCGTCTTAGTTAAGGCTGCATTATGACGTCATTTTTGGCATCAATTTAAATCCACATTTAAATCCAACTTTGTGACGTCATTTGGATAGATTGCAGAATATAAATAGGCCCACTGCGTAAATTTATCTTCAAAGCACTTGAATGTCAGACCTGAAGATGGATTACGATAGTGTTCTAAAACGACGTTTAAAAACTCGGCGGCGATTACGACAAAGAAGACGAGAAAAAGAATTAGAAAGCATTATTTATCGACAAAAGAAGAAAGAAAAGAAACTTCGAAGAAAATATTTACAGATTTTACAAAGACACTATCAACAAGAACAAGAAACGCAGGACTCCATCGGATCAGATGTAGGACTCTATAATATTCAGGAGCCCATCAACAAGCAAAATGTTGTGGATTTAATGACCAGCTTTGATAGGGTTAACAACACCTTGAGAGAATTTAGAGAAGAAATGACTAATGAGTTTTCTTATATCAGAGGAAGATTAGCAAAAATGGAAGCGAAAATGAAAAAGATTCAGAACAAGATGAAATCAAAAGAAAATTGCAAACCAAAGTACCGGAACGAAGCAAAAGATCCAAGGAAGAAACCAACTGAGGAAACAAACGCCTGTTACATCTGTAAAGAACTAAGTCACCAGGCGTCAGACTGTCCTAAAAACCAAGAAGATTGGTGCTACAAATGTTGCCAACCAGGACACTGAGGAAATGAATGCCCAGTAAAAGATGAAAACAGCCAGGAAAATAATGATAATCAGCACGAGGACTTTCAGAAAAAATGGGTACCCATATACTGGAACCTTAGATCTACCTGAAAACAAAGAGCGAAAGCAAGGAAAAGATATCGGCGACTGTGACTGAAGAGAGTAGTCCAACATCGTACCAAATTCTCCTCCAGCGAGCAGCTTAAGAAACCACAGAAGAAGAAAAATTAAAGAACATTCAATTTAGAATTAAAATTAATTGTAATTACTTTATATTAATGTTTATTGTTATTAATGTGTTAATAATGTGTTAATAAATGTAGAAAATGGTAGTACAGTGTGTTATTATTCAAATGTAAATTATGCAAATAATTATAGATATGAAAGTAAATTTAAATTTAAAAACACAACAAAACAAAACAAAAATCTTTCATTCTTTCTCTGCAACCCGAAGGATACAGACGTGTTGTTTGATCATCATCATTCAAGAAGATGCAACAACAGTACAGCAATCATGGACTGAATGGAGATTACTAGTATTTCGTAGCGTGAATGGGTATTTTTGGGCATCATTATGTACCAATTACCTGGGAACTTTTACAAAGACCCGCTACTGACAAGCAATATGTTGGCAGTTACATCTTACACAACCCTGATGTCGAAAGGATATTATATCCATTCTGTGTAAAACAGACTCAGTTGATCATTGTTAACGCCACGTTCTACGCATGAAGAAAAATATCAGATTAGCCACAGAAGCCAAAGGAGACATCAGAAAACTGAATAAAAAAGTTGGTGGCAGCTTAAGAAAGTTTCGAGGAGATTTTGGGTTCCCTGATTACCTTACCGGAGAAGAAATTCTTCGCATTGTCATGGCAGACCATTTTTGACAAGAGGAGTGGAACCAGGCCGACAACGAATTAGTTTTAGTTATATATATATATGTGATGTACCACAGGGGTGAAATGAAAATTGATTTGGATTAAGCAACATACATCATGATGTATTATTGTTGCTTGTTTCAATAAAATGTAGAAAAATTAACTGTCTTATTATTATTTGAAAACAAGACTGTTGATTGTTCAAATGTATATATGCTTTGTAATCTAACTATGATGTCAAAATATAAAATGACATAAAAAACTGTAGATCAGGCTGTAATTGAAATCCATGCCCAGAAATTGGCAGGAAAAGAAGACGCTACAGTAGTGTTTATATAGGGTTGTCAAAATCAGCTGATATCTGTAAAGTTTGGAAATTTATGTTTTATTTGTATAAAACAGTCATTTCTAAAGACTTGTATTATAAGATATTTATTGTATATTATTATTTTCAGAAAAATATTCCCCACGATGTTTTTTTTCACGCTGGCAGTAAGGTTAAGAGCCAAGGTCAACTGCACTGAAGGAAAAAAAGTGTACTCAGTTGATCTCACCATCCAGGACTCTATTAAAGAGTAAGGCCAAAAACTTCAGCTGATTGTAAAATGGTCGATCTAACTAAAACGAAATGTTCCAAATCTGCTACCGTTTCTCAAACACCTAACATCATCCCTTTCGATGTCACGTTAGAGCGACCTTTCGATTAGCCTTGAAATCACCACGCCCAAATTTTCCCTAACGAAAAATAATTATAGTTTACTATAGTAAATACTTTGATACTTTGATCTACTATGACACTTTACTCTAGAACTTTTTTTTGAGATTTCAAAGCATAAAATCTCTTAAGTTCGATTACAATGTATCATAAACATGTATCAA